GTCGGTCGCTGCCCCGCCTGGGGAAGAGGCCGGCCCAGAGCTGGGCTGGGTGCCCCGGGCGCTTCCCGCCGAGGAAGAGGAGGAAAATCCGGGATTCCCTCTGGGAAAAGGCGGGAAATGGCTCGGGACCATCCTCCTCCTCCTCCTCCTCCTCCTCCCTCCCGTGGGGTGTTTGGGGTCAGGAGATAAAATTCACACCCAGCCCCAAGGAAAAGCCCAGAATCCAGTCCCCATCCCAGTCCCAGTTCCAGTCTTTTTTCTGGGAAAAAAACCAAAAAGGGAAAAGAGGGAACCCCCCCCACCTGTTCGCTTTTAAATCGGTATTTTTGGGCTAAGATAATGGGGCGAAAAACCAGGATGGGAAAACCTCCCAGGACGGGGGAAAGGGCCGGGCCAGGCCGAGGAGCAGCTGGAAATCTGGAAATGCCATAAATCCCGCGGGTGTCGCGGGCACCGCCGGCTCCATAAATATCCCGGGAGGGGACAAAGCCCCCATTGAGCCCCGGCAGCTGCGGGGACGCCGCGGGTCAAGGGCGCCGCCGCTCCTGCCCGGGTTCCCCCGCTTAACTCATCCAAATCGCTTTTTGTCACCCCCAGCCCCGGGAAAATATCTGGGCATTTGGTGGTTTGGTGGTTGAGGGGGTGATGGAGGGGAAACTGAGGCACGGGCATTGAGCCCTTGAGCCCAAAATGCCTTTTACATTTATTATTTTATTTTATTTTGTTTTATTTTATTTTATAAATTTTTAAATATTTTATTTTATTTTATTTTATTTTATTTTATTTTATTTCTGCTATTTATTAATTTTTGTTATAGTTCTATTTATTTTATTGTTATTACTGTATTTCATTTACGTATTCTATTGTCTTTTATTTATGTATTTATTTTATTTAATTATTGCTTTTTTATTTGGTTATTTTATTTCTTTAACTTACTTATTATATTGTATTTAATTTACATATTCATTTTATGTATGTATGTACGTACGTACGTATGTATGTATGTATGTATTTATTTATTTATTTATTTATTTATTTATTTTATTAATTAGCATCCGTGGGTTTCCCACTGCGGAAATTCCCTTTATGCATCCCAAATTTCTCTCATTAATGGGAATTTTTAAAATCTATTTACTTAGTTTTATTTATTTATTTAATTTGCTTATTCTATTGTATTTTATTTATGCATTCATTTTATTTATTCGTTTATCTGTTTAATTTAAATATTTATTTATTTACTTATTTATTTATTTAACATTTTATTTTATTTTATTTTATTTTATTTTATTTTATTTTATTAGCATCCGTGGGTTTCCCACCGTGGAAATTCCCTTTCTGCGTCCCAAATTCCTCTCATTAATGGGATTTTTTTTTTTTTTTGAGGGGAGGCTGCGATTCTTGGGAAGCTTTTGGGGGGAATTTGGGGAATTTTCCGACCTTGGGAGCGGAGATTTGGGAGGGTCGGGATGGGCTCGGACATTCCCAGGGCTGGGGAGGAAGGGAGGAAGGGCGGCTCCTCCTCCTCCTCCTCCTCGTTTCCCACCTCCCCAGTCCCACGGGCTGCCGGGAAGGGTGGAATTAATCCCTATGGAAATTTATTTAAATGAATTCCCGCCTGGACACTCAAGCTGTTCCCAGCCTGGCGAGGGGGGAGGGAGTGGAGCCCCCCCGGATCCCAAATCCCCAAATTCCCAAATTCCTCTCCCTTTTCCTGGGGTTATTCCCGGCTGCAAGTGCTGAGTTCTGCCCCAAATCCACTTTTGGATTTTTCATTTTCCCCAGGGGGTTCTCGGAGAGCAGGGAGGTTCCAGCGGTTCTTGTTGTGCCCTGGAAAAATGGGATTTTTTTGGGTTGGTTTCACCCCAAAAAACCCTCGAGTCTTGGTTGTTCCATGAGGGCAATATTGAGGATTTCCAGAGATGAGAAATCCTGGGTTTCCTGCCTGAAATTCCTTGGTTTATTTGTTGGAATTGCCCTGGAACAGATCCAGCTTTTCCCAGATCAAATGGATCCAAATGAAACAGATCCAAATGAAACAGATCCAAATGAAACGGATCCAAATGAAACAGATCCAAATTAAACAGATCAAAATGAAACAGATCCAGCTCTTCCCGTTCCTATCGGGATGGGACAGAGATTTCCTTGGGATCATAGAGACAGAGTGACCACCAAAATCCTGGGAATTTTGGAATTCCTGGGAATTTAGGAATCCTGGAATTCCTGGGAATCCCTGGGGGCGTCCTTGGCGCTGGATCCTCCCCTGGCCCTGGATCCCAAAGATCCCGGGAATTGGGGCTGGGGGATCCAGCAGGGACCCCAAAAACAGCACCGGGGTTTGTACGTGCAGGGTGCCCTGATTAGTTAACCCAGCTGATTAATTAATTAATGAGGGAATTGGGCTCAGGCCGTGCGGGGCTGTGTGAGGGAGAGGCTGGGATGACGTGGGATAGTGCGGGAGATGGGAACTGGGAATGGGAACTGGGAATGGGAACTGGGAATGGGAATTGGGAATTGGGAATTGGGAATGGGAACTAGGAATAAGAACTGGGAATGGGAACTGGGAACTGGGAGCAGGGACGTTCCTGGGGACTGCAAGTGACATCAGGTGTGTCCCTCCCTGACCACCTGTGTCCACCCCTGTCCACCCCTGTCCATCCCCAGGCCGCTGTCCGGGCTCTTGGCTGACCACAGCCCCTGGCCGGGCCATCGGGCCCCCCTCGGGCCACCAGCAGTGACCAGGACATGAGTGTGGCACTGCCACCGCCTGTCCCCGGTGTCCCCAGGAGACCCCGCCCGAGGAGGCGCCAGGTGAGGAATCCCTGGGAGGGGCAAATGTCACCTGTGCCCTTCCTGCAGTCCCCAGATGTCACCTGTGCCCTTCCCCCTGTCCCAAGGTGTCACCTGTCCCCTTCCCCCTGTCCCCAGGTGTCACCTGTCCCCTTCCCTCAGAATGGACAGGTTGGGGACAGGTGAGACAGACTGGGGACAGGTTGGGGACAGGGCCAGGTTGTCCCATCCCCATGAGCCCCATTTCAGCCCCACAATTCACTTTTTTCCCATTTTTAAACCAAATTTCAAGGCAAGCCCACAGCTCCAGCAGGAGGATCTCAGAGTTTGGTGACTCCAGCCCTGTCCCCTCCGCAGGGGACAGCTCCAAAATGCCACCAAACCCTTCTGGGTGACAAGAGCCAGGCCAAACCTCGGCTGGGACATCCCCAAAACCCCCAAGACCTCCCTCCCCCAAATACTGAGCTACCCATGGAATCAAGTGGGAAAAAAAATTAAAATAAATAAATAAAATCAATAAAAGCGCTAAAAGGAGGGAGGAGGCCGCGCGGGAGGGGAAGCGTGGCAGTTTGTTATGCTAACCGAGGGGGGCTCCGCTCGGGGGGACGAGCCGGAGAGGTCTGAAGAGCAAGGAGTTCACAGGCCCTCTCCCTTTGTCATGCTAAAAGTGCAACACAGAAAATATACACGGGCAGCTGCTCGATGGAGCGTGAAATACGAGCGATTTCTGCGGGCCCCGGGTAATGCGATGCAGGGCCGGGACAATGCCCGCCCGCCGCCTTTGTGCGCCGCGGGAAACTCGGATTTTATTTTTAATATTTTATTTTATTTTATTTTATTTTATTTTATTTTATTTTATATTTAATATTTTATTTTATATTTAATATTTTATTTTATTTTATTTTATATTATTTTATTTTATTTTATTTTTTATTTTATTTTTTATTTTATTTTTTATTTTATTTTATTTTATTTTATTTTGTTTTCCTTGCAGGGAAGGGGCACAAACTGCCGCGAAGGGACGGAGGCGGGAGCGCCCCGAGCCGGGCCGGGCAGCGCCGTCACCGCGGCTGGGATGGAGATGGCGCCGCCGCAGGAGCGATTTGGGGACATTTGGGGACATTTGGGGACGCTCGGGGGCCGCGCACGGGCCGTGTCCCGCGGCGGGCGCTGCCTTTGCTGATGCTAATGGGGAGCGCTGGAAAATCAGCGCTCAAAGGCGCCTTTGTGTCCCCGGGGTGTGCGAGCATCCATCTTCCATCTTCCACCTTGGCCTCGGGCTCCGCGGCCCGGCCGGGCTGAACGCGGCGCCCTGGGGGCTCCTGCGGAGGGGCCCAGTGTCAAATCTGGGGGGATTTGGGGGTTTTGGGGGGCTTAGAGCATGGAGGCAGCGAGGGCGATGGAGCAGGAGGTTTCCCTGGGCCCTGGCTCATTTTGGGGGGATTTGGGGGATTTTTGGCTCCGCATTCCATCAGTGGAGGGGCTCGGGTGGGGAGCTGCCCTGGGGAGGGGTTTTGGGGCGCCCCGAGCCTCGGGGGATGCTCCGGGCGCGGGCGGAAGCGACATCTAGCGGGAAGCGCATCCCGTCGCCAGGGAGATCGATATCCATGGCAACCCCGGGAACGGCCCGGGCTGGACCAGGGGCACCGCCGGGCCCTGGGCACCGGGATGGGCCGGGAGGAGGGAACAGCCCGCCGGGGTGCCCGTCCTGGGACGGGAATGGGGGTCCTGGCACGGGAATGGGGGTCATGAAACTGAGATTTGGGTCCTGGCACTGGGATTTGGGTCCTGGCACTGGGATTTGGATCCCGGCACGGGGATGTGGGTGATGGCACTGAGATTTCGTTCTATTCCTCATTATGCTGCTCTGCCTTGGTTGCTAATAAATTAAATTAATTTCTCCGAGTCGAGTCTGGTTTGTGTGGGTCAGCTGAGGAGGGGGAGTTTGGGTCAGCTTGGGTGGGTCCCTGGCGTTTGCCCGGGGTTATCCCAAGGTGGGGATGACGGAAGACACGCGGATATGGTTTATTACCGATACTATCGATTATCGATTTTCCCGTGCGGGCTCGGCCCCGCCGGGACTCGAACCCGCGGTCCCGCCTCTCCCGGGAGGCCCCGCCCGCGGAACCGCGCGCCGCGCCGAGCCCGCCCCCTCCCACAGCCGCCTTGCCATTGGTCAATAACCTGCCAATCAAAAGGAACAGACCCCTGGATTGGTTGATTAGAGGGGCGTGGTTGCGGGGGCGGAGCCGTGGGCGGGCTTCCTGCGGGCGCCTTTGCGCTGACCCCCGGCATGGTGGGACCGGGGCGGACCGGGGGGGAACCGGGGATGGACCGGGATGGAGCGGGATGGTCCGGGAATGGACCGGGGGGGAAACCGGGGGCAACCGGGGTGGATCGGGGGCGGAGCGGGAGTTCTGAGCGGGGTTGCATGGCCAGGCTGCCCGGAGGGTCCCAGGCTTGGGCACGGCCGGGGGGTCCTGCAGTGACCGTGGGCAGGGGGTCACTGCCAGGTGACCACGGTGACCGTGGCCAGGGGGTCACTGCCCGGGGGTCCCAGGGCGTCCCCACACCCCCCCAGCCCCAGAAGTGACCCCGGGTGTCCCCAGGTCCCCCCAGCCCCGGGGGTGTCCCCAGGTCCCCCATCGCCGTTGGTGACCCGGTGTTCCCACACCCCCCCATCCCCGCTGGTGACCCCGGTGGGTGTCCCCGCAGGCGGTGATGGGGGTGCAGGTGGTGGTCACCCTGCTGGCCGCCAGCCTGATGCAGAAGATGGCCCCGCACTGCTCCTTCGCCCGCTGGCTGCTGTGCAACGGCAGGTACGGCTCTGTCCCTGTGCCCCGTGTCCCCCGTGCCCCCTGGGCACACCCCGCCCCGGTCACCCCCTGTCCCCGCAGCCTGTACAGGTACAAGCACCCCTCGGACGAGGAGCTCTGCGCCCTGGCCGGGAAGCAGCGCCCCAAGAGCAGGAGGGACAGGTCAGCGTCACCTGGGGGCGGGAGCGGGACACGGTCGGGGCTGGGGACACGGTCGGGGCTGGGGACACGTTTGGGGTTGGGGACACACTTGGGGTTGGGGACACATTCGGGGCTGGGGACACTTTTGGGGTTGGGGACAGGGATGGGGCTAGGGGCACGTTCGGGGCTGGAGACACGATTGGGGTTGGGGACAGCGAGAGCCACCCCAGGGTGCCAGGGGTGACAAGGGGACAGCTGGGGGTGACACAGGGGATGCTGTGGGGGTGACAAGGGGACAGCTGGGGGTGACACAGGGACAGCCAGGGGTGACAAGGGGACAGCCGGGGGTGACACAGGGGATGCTGTGGGGGTGACAAGGGGACAGCCGGGGGTGACACAGGGGACAAGCCGGGCGCTGCTGTGTTCCCTGCAGGAGGGCCAGCGGGGTGGCCGAGGACAAGCCCCTGTCGGTGCCACGGGACATCGAGCTGCAGCTGGACACCAGCCCCATCACGGCCGTGGATGCGCTGGGTAACGCCCGGGGACGCTGGGGGGGTGTCCCAAAGCGGTGACAGATGAGTTCCCAGCATGGTGACGTGTCCCCAGCCCAGTGCCATGTCTCCAGTGCAGTGACAGTCGTGTCCCCATGCAGTGCTGCGCCATTTCCTGGAGTACCAGTGCCATGTCCCCAGTGCAGTGCCATTTCCCCAGCTGTGTCCCGTGTCCCCAGCGCAGTGACACAATGTCCCTGTGCCCGCAGTGCTGCGCCATTTCCTGGAGTACCAGTGGTTCGTGGATTTCTCCGTCTACGCCGGCGCCGTGTACGCCTTCAGCGAGGGCTATTTCTGCCTGGTGAGCCCGGCCCGGGAGAGCAACCTGGGCGTGCTCTGGTGCCTGCTCACCGTCCTCTTCTCCGTGTATCCTCAGTTCCTGGGGGCCAGGCAGAAAGGGGAACCCCAGCGCTGCTTTTCCCTCCCAGCTGAGGCGTAAAACTGAATTTTGGGGGTTATTTATGAGGAACCCTGCAGGTGCCCCACAGAGGAGCTGGTGGTGGCTTCATGGTGGGGACGGTTTGGGGGTGGTCAGAGGCTGGGGGGTCCCCGCTGTCCCCATTTCCTTGACGCCATCCCCACCCCAGCAAGGTGTTCTTGGTGCAGAGGAGGGGATGGTTTGGGTTAGCAGAGATTTGGGGGTCCCTGGTGTCCCCGTTTCCTTGACAGCATCCCCAGCAAGGTGTTCTGCGTGGTGATGCGTCACTATTTCCGCTCCGAGGAGGGCGGCGAGCGCTCCGTGTGCCTCACCGCCGCCTTCTTCTTCCTGCTGCTCGCCATGCTGGCCCTGGTGGTGCGCGAGGATTACCTGGAGTTCGGCCTCGAGGCCGGTGCGTGACGGGCACGGGGACGGGGACAGGGGAGGGGGCGCCGGGGACCCCGGCCAGGGGGGCACAACACGCCCAGGGGTCACTCATGGGGGTCACTTCTCACTCCCAGGGGTCACTCCCCTGGTCACTCCCCCCTGGTCACTCCCCCCTGGTCACTCCCCTGGTCACTCCCTGGTCACTCCCCTGGTCCCTCCCTGGTCACTCCCCAGTGGTCACTCCCCCCTGGTCAATCCCCTGGTCACTCCCTGGTCACTCCCTGGTCACTCCCCCCTGGTCACTCCCCTGGTCAATCCCCTGGTCACTCCCTGGTCACTCCCCTGGTCCCTCCCTGGTCACTCTCTGGTCACTCCCCAGTGGTCACTCCCCCCTGGTCACTCCCCTGGTCACTCCCCAGTGGTCACTCCCCCCTGGTCACTCCCCTGGTCACTCCCTGGTCACTCCCCAGTGGTCACTTCCCCCGGTCAATCCCCTGGTCACTCCCCTGGTCACTCCCCAGTGGTCACTCCCCAGGGGTCACTCCCTGGTCACTCCCTGGTCACTCCCTGGTCACTCCCCAGTGGTCACTCCCCCCTGGTCACTCCCCTGGTCACTCCCTGGTCACTCCCCAGTGGTCACTCCCCCCTGGTCAATCCCCTGGTCCCTCCCTGGTCACTCCCTGGTCACTCCCCAGTGGTCACTCCCCCCTGGTCAATCCCCTGGTCCCTCCCTGGTCACTCCCTGGTCACTCCCTGGTCACTCCCCAGTGGTCAATCCCCTGGTCACTCCCCCATTGGTCACTCCCCAGTGGTCACTCCCCCCTGGTCACTCCCCAGTGGTCACTCCCCCCTGGTCACTCCCCCATTGGTCACTCTGCAGGCCTGGCCGGAGTCTCCTCTAACCTGGAGCCCATCCTGAAGCCGCGGGGCTGGGAGTGGACGTGAGTGGGCACCAAACCCCTGTTTGGGGACATTCCTGGGGAGTTTGGGGTGGGAGCTCTCCAGGAATGGGCACAGCAGTGTCACCCTGTGTGTCCCCAGGCTGGGCACAGCAATGTCACCCTGTCCCTGTGTGTCCCCAGGCTGGGCACAGCAATGTCACCCTGTGTGTCCCCAGGCTGCCCCTGGCCAGGCTGGCCTTCAAGCTGGGGCTGGTGGCCCTGAGCTCCTTCCTGGGCGCCTGCCTGACCTTCCCGGGGCTGCGCCTGGCACAGACACACCTGGACGCGCTCAGCATGGCGGCCGGCAAGCCCCTGACACAGTGAGTGACACCTGGGGACAGCAGGGACACCTGGGCATGGGGGGGGACACCTGGGGACAGCTGGGGAGGGAGGGAGGGCTGGGTACCAGGACCCCTCAGCTCTGGGGGAGGTTTGGGGTGGGAGGGGAGGGGTCTCTGGGGTCTCTGGGGTCTCTGTGAGCTCTCTGGGGTCTCCGGGTCGGTGACAGTCCCTTGCAGGCTCCTGCTGCACGTGGGGTTCGTGGCCCCCGTGCTGGTGGTGCTGCTCTGGGTCCGGCCCCTGGCCCGGGATTTCCTGCTCCAGGCCCCGCTGGGCAAGCAGACGGTGCAGATGTGAGTGCCACAGCGGGGGGACATCCCCGGTGACCCCCGTGTGTGACAGTGTCCCCACAATGACCCCCTGTGACACCCAATGGCCCCTGTGACCCTCTGTGTCCCGCAATGTCCCCCCAGTGTCCCTTGTGACCATCCGTGACCCTCAGTGACACCCAGTGTCCCCCAATGTCCCCCCAGTGTCCCCCAATGTCCCCTGTGACACCCAATGTCCCCCAATAGCTCCTCAATGATCCCCTGTGACCCTCTGTGTCCCCTGTCCCCTCTGGATCAGGGATCCCTGTCCCCATCCCTGGTGCCATCCTCGGTGCCATCCCTGGTGTCTCCTGTCCCCTGTGGGTCAAGGGTCCCTGTCCCCAGCCCTGTCCCCATCCCGGTGCCATCTCCAGTGTCCCCTGTCCCCTGTCCCCATCCCGGTGCCATCCCCGGTGCCATCCCAGTGCCATCCCCGGTGCCACCCGGTGTCCCCTGTCCCCTGTGGATCAGGGGTTGCTGTCCCCAGCCCAGTGCCATCCCCGGTGCTATCCCGGTGCCACCCCGGTGTCCCGTGTCCCCATCCCCGGTGCCACCCGGTGTCCCGTGTCCCCGCAGCCTGTCGGACGCGGCCTTTGACACGCTGCGGCTCTGGGCCGTGGTGGCGCTGTCGCTGCTGCGGCTGCTGGGGACGCGCCACCACCTGCAGGCGTACCTGGCGCTGGCCGAGCGCTGGGTGCGGCGCATGCGGCGCCAGGCGGGGCGGATCCCGGCCCGGGACATCCAGCGGCAGGTGCGGGAACGGCAGCGGGAGCGGGAGCGGGGATGGGAACGGGAGCGGGAACGGGAATGGGGATGGGGATGGGAATGGGAGTGGGAATGGGAACGGGAATGGGAATGGGAAAGGGAACGAGAATGGGAATGGGGATGGAACACGGGAACGGGATCGGGATCAGGAATGTGATCATAATCAGGGTCAGGATTGGGATTGGGACCGGGAACGGGGCGGGGATTGGGGTTGGGATCGGGATCAGGATCGGAGTCAGGGTCAGGGTTGGGATGGCGATGGGGATGGGGACCAGGACCGGGATTTGGGATTGGGATCAGCGTCGGGAGCAGGATCAGAATCGGGATTGGGACTGGGGCATGGCTCCCGGGATTCCCGCTGGGGATTCCCGCGTTCCCTCTGAGCGCTCCGGGTTCCCGCAGATCTCCAGGATTTACTGCTACGTGTCCGTGGTGAGCCTGCAGTACCTGGGCCCCGTGATCCTCACGCTGCACTGCGCCCTGCTGCTCAAGACGCTGGGTGAGCAGGGGCTCGGGGGGCTCGGGGGGCTTTGGGGGCGGCAGGAGGGCCACCAGGACCCCGACTGTCCCCAGTGTTCACAGCCCCCAGCTCAGGATGTCCCCTGGTTCTGTCCCCTCGTTCTGTTCCGGTTTGCAGTGGGGACAAACTCGGTGCTGGGGCTGTGCCACCAGCAGGGGTGGGGCATGGGGACATGCCAGAGCTGTCCCCTGTGTCTCCCATGCCCCCGTTCCTGTCCCCTGTGTCCCTCAGACCCCAGAGCTGTCCCCTGTGTCCCCCAGACCCCATTCCTGTCCCCTGTGTCCCCCAGAGCTGTCCCCTGTGTCCCCCAGACCCCAGAGCTGTCCCCTGTGTCCCCCATGCCCCCGTTCCTGTCCCCTGTGTCCCCCAGACCCCAGAGCTGTCCCCTGTGTCCCCCATGCCCCCGTTCCTGTCCCCTGTGTCCCCCAGACCCCAGAGCTGTCCCCTGTGTCCCCCAGACCCCATTCCTGTCCCCTGTGTCCCTCAGACCCCATTCCTGTCCCCTGTGTCCCCCAGAGCTGTCCCCTGTGTCCCCCAGACCCCATTCCTGTCCCCTGTGTCCCCCAGACCCCAGAGCTGTCCCCTGTGTCCCCCATGCCCCCGTTCCTGTCCCCTGTGTCCCTCAGACCCCAGAGCTGTCCCCTGTGTCCCCCAGACCCCATTCCTGTCCCCTGTGTCCCTCAGACCCCAGAGCTGTCCCCTGTGTCCCCCAGACCCCATTCCTGTCCCCTGTGTCCCCCAGAGCTGTCCCCTGTGTCCCCCATGCCCCCGTTCCTGTCCCCTGTGTCCCCCAGACCCCCATTCCTGTCCCCTGTGTCCCTCAGACCCCAGAGCTGTCCCCTGTGTCCCCCATGCCCCCGTTCCTGTCCCCTGTGTCCCTCAGACCCCAGAGCTGTCCCCTGTGTCCCCCATGCCCCCGTTCCTGTCCCCTGTGTCCCTCAGACCCCATTCCTGTCCCCTGTGTCCCCCAGACCCCATTCCTGTCCCCTGTGTCCCTCAGACCCCAGAGCTGTCCCCTGTGTCCCCCAGACCCCCATTCCTGTCCCCTGTGTCCCTCAGACCCCAGAGCTGTCCCCTGTGTCCCCCAGACCCCATTCCTGTCCCCTGTGTCCCCCAGACCCCAGAGCTGTCCCCTGTGTCCCCCAGACCCCATTCCTGTCCCCTGTGTCCCCCAGACCCCAGAGCTGTCCCCTGTGTCCCCCAGACCCCATTCCTGTCCCCTGTGTCCCTCAGACCCCATTCCTGTCCCCTGTGTCCCCCAGACCCCCATTCCTGTCCCCTGTGTCCCCCAGACCCCAGAGCCGTCCCCTGTGTCCCCCAGACCCCAGAGCTGTCCCCTGTGTCCCCCAGACCCCATTCCTGTCCCCTGTGTCCCCCAGACCCCATTCCTGTCCCCTGTGTCCCCCAGACCCCAGAGCTGTCCCCTGTGTCCCCCAGACCCCATTCCTGTCCCCTGTGTCCCCCAGACCCCAGAGCTGTCCCCTGTGTCCCCCAGACCCCATTCCTGTCCCCTGTGTCCCCCAGAGCTGTCCCCTGTGTCCCCCATGCCCCCGTTCCTGTCCCCTGTGTCCCCCAGACCCCAGAGCTGTCCCCTGTGTCCCCCAGACCCCATTCCTGTCCCCTGTGTCCCTCAGACCCCAGAGCTGTCCCCTGTGTCCCCCAGACCCCGTTCCTCTCCCCTGTGTCCCCCAGACCCCAGAGCTGTCCCCTGTGTCCCCCAGACCCCATTCCTGTCCCCTGTGTCCCTCAGACCCCAGAGCTGTCCCCTGTGTCCCCCAGACCCCGTTCCTCTCCCCTGTGTCCCCCAGACCCCAGAGCCGTCCCCTGTCCCGCAGGCCAGCACTCCTGGGGGCTGTACCCCGCCGTGTCCCCCGCCGTGTCCCCAGCAGCGCCGGTGGCCCCGCCGCGCCCCGAGGGCGGCCCTGGGGACGCCGAGGACGTGCAGGCGGTGGTGCAGGAGATCTCGGGGCTGCTGGGCTGCATCTTCACCCCGCCCTTCTTCCGAGGACTCTTCTCCTTCCTCACCTGGTGGGTGGCCGCCTGCCAGGTGGTCACCAGCCTCTTCGGCCTCTACTTCCACCAGTACCTGGCAGCCTCCTGACTGGGGGCACTGGGAGGGACTGGAGGGACTGGGAGGAACTGGGTGCTGCCGGTCCCGCATTGCTGCCCTGCCTGCTTGTGCCGCTTTGAGGACACACCTGTGGGGACATCGGTGCCGTTTTGAGGACACACCTGTGGGGACATCGGTGCCGCTTTGAGGACCTTGGTGCCACCAGGACGGGTTTAGTGCCACCGCTGTGCCTGCCCCTCATGGGGACACTCCAGTGCTGCCTTTTCCTGGCGGGCAGCGGCTCCTGGCGTGCTGGGGACACGCTGGGGACATCCAGGAGTGGCACCAGAGATTTTGGGGTTTTTGTAGGGTCTCTGCACCCTCGTGCTGCGTGTGACCCCAGCAGCCTCGGGAGTGGCTGCTCCACAATAAACAAGTGACACCAGTGTCGTTGTCACCCAAAAGCTGCTCTCGGTGTCCCCAACTCCTACAGCAGGTCCCACGGTGCTGCTTTAGGCCCCACCTGGGAGGAGCAGACCTGTCCCTGTCCCTGTCCCTGGGGTCACCTGGGGCTGGTGACACCGGGAGGGTGACAGGGCTGGTGTCCCTTCCTTGTCCCTATGATCACCCGGGGCTGGTGGCACTGGGGTGGGGACACACAGGGTCCCCGTGATGCGAGCCGTCCCTGGGGTGCTGCAGCTCCGTGTAACGGGATTAGCAGCTCTGGGCTGCCCGGAGAAAGGGCCGGGGCTCTGATCCTGTTCCATGGCCTTGTAATGGTCCCGAATTCCCTCTGCCAGCCCGGGAGCAGCAGCAGCAGCGCTGGGCCGGGCTTAACTGGGCTAATCCAGCTCCTGCTCCTCCTCCTGCTGCTGCTTCCCGGGAATCCTCGCCCTGGATGGTTGAGGGAAAAAAATAAAAAATGAGGGGGAAATTCCCATTTTGTAAGTGGGGAATCCAAAGCCCAGCCCAGTGGCAAATAGGGAGTTCAAAGCTCAGCCCAGCAGGAAATGGGGAACCCAAAGCCCAGCCCAGTGGGAGATGGGGAACCCAAAGCTCAGCCCAGCAGGAAATGGGGAACCCAAAGCCCAGCCCAGTGGGAGATGGGGAACCCAAAGCCCAGCCCAGTGGGAGATGGGGAACCCAAAGCCCAGCCCAGTGGGAGATGGGGAACCCAAAGCCCAGCCCAGCGGGAGATGGGGAACCCAAAGCCCAGCCCAGCGGGAGATGGGGAACCCAAAGCCCAGCCCAGCGGGAGATGGGGAACCCAAAGCCCAGCCCAGTGGCAAATAGGGAGTTCAAAGCTCAGCCCAGCAGGAAATGGGGAACCCAAAGCCCAGCCCAGTGGGAGATGGGGAACCCAAAGCCCAGCCCAGTGGGAGATGGGGAACCCAAAGCCCAGCCCAGTGGGAGATGGGGAACCCAAAGCCCAGCCCAGCAGGTTGGGAAGGGCCGTGCGGGGGCATTCCCGCAGGGTTTGGGGTTCCGAGGGTGCAGGCGCTGTCCCCACTGTGTCCCCTGTGCGGTGGCAGTGTCCCTGCCCCGCTCTGGTGTCCCCTGTGCGGTGTCCCCGCGCTGGTGTCCCTGTCCCTGCCCCGCTCTGGTGTCCCTGTCCCTGCCCCGCTCTGGTGTCCCTGTCCCAGTCCCGCTCTGGTGTCCCTGTGTCCTGTCCCGCTCTGGTGTCCCTGTCCCTGCCCCGCTCTGGTGTCCCTGTCCCTGTCCCGCTCTGGTGTCCCTGCCCCGCTCTGGTGTCCCTGTGCCCTGTCCCGCTCTGGTGTCCCTGCCCCGCTCTGGTGTCCCTGTGCCCTGTCCCGCTCTGGTGTCCCTGCCCCGCTCTGGTGTCCCTGTCCCTGTCCCGCTCTGGTGTCCCTGCCCCGCTCTGGTGTCCCTGTGTCCTGTCCCGCTCTGGTGTCCCTGCCCCGCTCTGGTGTCCCTGCCCCGCTCTGGTGTCCCTGTCCCTGTCCCGCTCTGGTGTCCCTGCCCCGCTCTGGTGTCCCCGCGCGCTGTCGCCGCCGCCCCGCCTGTCGCCTGTCGCGTTGCCAGGGCCGGTGGCGGCGCAGGCAGACGCGCAGCCGGAGCGTCCCGCGGGAGCTGCCCAGACGGGTGACCCCGCCCGGCGGCGACAGTGACAGATCGAGCAGCCGGCGGCGCAGACACGGCCCGGGCACCGAGGGGCCCCGCGGGGTTTGGGTCTGGGGGCTGCAGCGCGATGGGGCGGGCACGGGGGCAACGGGAGGGGATGGTCCGGGGGGATCCCATGGCTGGGGGGGCTCGTCCTGGCAGGGCGGGATGAGAGGAATCCATTTCCACCCCATTTTATCCCAAATGGGATCCCTAACAGGAGGGGGATGAGGGGAATCCATTTCCACCCCAAATGGGATCCCTGGCAGGGAGGGATGCGGGGAATCTTTTCCACCCCATTTTATCCCAAATGAAATCCTGATATAGAATCCTTTCCCACCCCAAATGGGATCCCTGGCAGGGAGGGATGCGGGGAATCCTTTCCACCCCACTTTATCCCAAATGAAATCCTGATATAGAATCCTTTCCCACCCCATTTCCACCCCAAATGAGAACCCTGGCAGGAAATCTTTCCCACCCTCTTTATCCCAAATGAGATCCCTAAAAAGGAGTCTTTTCCCACCCCATTTCCACCCCAAATGGGATCCCTGACAGGGGGGGATGAGGGGAATCCATTTCCATCCCATTTCCATCCCAAATGGGATCCCTGGCAGGGAATCCTTTCCTACCCCACTTTATCCCAAATCGGATCCCTAGCAGGGTTTGTGACAGGATTTTTGAGGGTTTTTTGGGGGGTTATGAAGAAGTTTTAAAGGGTTTTTTGGGAGGTTGTGAGGAGATTTTGGGGAGGGGATGTGAGGGTTTTTTTGGGGGGGTTATGAAGAGCTTTTATGGGGGTTATAAGGGTTTTTTGGGGGGGTTATAAAGGTTTTTTTTGGGGGGAGGTTATGAGGGTTTTTAGGGGGATTATAAAGGTTTCTTTGGGAGCCCCGAGCTGGGGAAGGCTCCACTGCCCGAGCCGACAGCGCCACCTGCTGCCACCGCCTGGGGACAGCGACAGCGACAGCGCGGGGAGCGCCGGGGCTCCTTCCCTTCCTCGGGACCCCCGAATCCCAACAAATTCCCAGCGAATTCCCAGCAATCCCCCCGAAATCCCAGCAAAGCCCCGACACAAAGCACGGCAGGAGATTGGTGCGGTAAAAGGGGCATAATCCTCAAAAAAAAACCCATTAAAAACCCTAAAAATCCTCACAAAAAAAACCACCTAAAAATCCTCACCAAAAAACCCTCAAAAATCCTCACCAAAAAACACCTCAAAAATCCTCACAATAAAACACCTCAAAAATCGACACTACCCTTAGAAAAGCCCCCTCATAATCCCCCAAAAAACTCCTCATAACTGCCCAAAAATTCCTTAAAAACCCCATCATAATCCCCCCAAAAACCCCTTAAAAAGACCCCAAAATCCTTTCACAAACCCTCATAATGCCCAAAAAACCCTCACAGCCCTCAAAAATCCCCTCACAACCTCCCCAAAAATCTCCTCACAAACCCCTAAAACTCTCTTCACAAACCCCCAAAAATCCCTTCACAAACCCTCATAATGCCCAGAAAACCTTCACAGCCCTCAAAAAATCCTCAGAAAAACCATCACAATCGCCCCCAAAAATCTCCACACAAACCCTCAAAAATCTCCTCATAACCACCCAAAAAAACCCCATCAAAACCCCCTAAAACGTTCCAGGCCTGAGAACCAGAGAGAAGCCGTGCAGAGCCCCAAAGTCAATCACATTTTTTATTAAATATACATCCTCTCTTGGCACAAATCTTAAAATATATAAACATTATATAACAAAGTGTCTTCACTGCAATAAAATAGAATCCAGATCCAAGAAAAGCCGTCAAAACTGACACGCACACGTGGATGGTGAGGGCACGGGGAAAAGGCAATTAACAGTGTTTGTGCTAATTAATTAATTAACAGATGCATAGACCACACAGGCAGTGACCGGCGCTGGGACACCCTGCAACTCGTGGTGATTTTGGGGGGAAATGTGGGGGAAAAAAGGGGGGAAAGAAAGGGGGAAAGAGGGAAAAGAGGGAGAGAAAAAGGGGGCGGGAAAAAGGGGGAAAAATGGGAGAAAAAGGGGGAAAATTGAGGGGGAAAAAGAAAAGGGAGAAATGAAAAGGGAGAAATGAAAAGGGGGGAAAGAGGGAAAAAGGGGGGAAAAGAAAAGGGGAAAAAAGAAAAGGGGGAAAAAAGAAAAGGGGGAAACAGAAAAGGGGGAAAAAGAAAAGGGGGGGAAAAAGGGAGAAAAGGAGGAAAAGGGAAAAAAAAGGGAAAAGGGGAAAGAAAAGGGGAAAAGAAGGGGGGAAAGGGGAAAAAAAGGTGAACAAAAGGGGCAATGAGCCCCTAGAAGGTACAAAGAGAAGATCCCAAACCAGCCAAGGAGCTCAGAAAGTTCCCCCAAACCATCCCATGGTGCCTGAAGTTCCTGGAGCATCCAGGCTGCGAGGGGAGAACGTGCTTGGGCTGTTGGAAAAACGCTAAAAAGCTGCAATTTTGACGATTTGGGTGCATTTTTCTGGACCTGGTTTTCTCGAAGTGCCAGTGCGGGGCTCAAGGTGCAGGAAGAAGCAGGAGGGGGGAGAGGGAAGGAAAAACAAAAAGCACAGATTTGGTGGTGATGACGCTTTAAGGATCCGTGATAAAGGGGAGTGGGAAATTAAATTTGAGAGGAATAAAGTGGAAAATTAGGGAATTGCAGGATAGGAAAAAAAAGGACAAAAAAATGGGGAAAACTCCTGTTTTGAGTTGTTTCCTTTCTCAGAGCTCTCCCTGGCCAGCACACCTCAGAAAAAATCTGGAACGTGTGTGAATCCATGCAGGGAAGAAGAGAAGGGAACACTCTGTTTCCCCTTTTCTGCATTCAAAAAAAGGGAAAAAAGGGAGGAAAAAAAAAAAAAAAAAAAAAAAAAAAAAAAAAAAAAAGCTTTTTAAACCAACCCAAAGCAGCAACAGGCTCTGATGAGAAACAAAAGCACCAAAACCATCAGAGGCTGAACTCAAGGACAAACACCCAGCCTGCAAAACTCGTGGGGAAGTTGGCTGAAATTCCGAATTTCAATCAGGTGCAGCTGCTAATTAAAGAAGGGCTCCTGGAATTCCTGCTTTTCCCAGCGGGGAGGGGACAAGGAGGGACAGGACACGAACACTGCTGGGAGTTCCTCCCTCGGGATCAGGACCAGAGCAGGGTAAATTGGCTTCTCCATTGGAGAAAAGAAACGGGGGGCTGAGCAGGGGAAAGCAGAGCTGGGAGTCTTCCACAGCCCCCAAACAATGACACAGAATTGGCGGCCACCGCCTCCCAAAAGCCCAGGGATCTTCAATTCCCAGGGAAACCAGGGAGTGTGCCGCCCTGATAAAACAAACACCAGTTCCAGCGTGCCCCTTCCGGTGCTGGGAACACGCCGTGTGCCCACACCCCCTGATTGCTGAGGAAACATTTGGCATCGGGAGCAGCTCCGTGCTCCCGAGAAGTGCAAAGACAAAAAGGAAAGGAGAAGGCTGCTCCTGCCCCCTCGTGCAATTCCTTCCACTGCCACCCATCCCATCCGGCTCAAGTGCACAACAAACAGGAAAGGACAGGCTTGAAGGTAAATCTTATCTTTTTCTCACATTATGGACTCTCTCTGAAAAAAGGGGTTTTTCCACCTTGGTTCGTGTAATCTTCCATCAGAGGAGCCTGAAGTCTGCTCTGACCTCTGAATTTAACAGAGGGATGGATCACCCAATAAAAAAATCTGCATTTCCCTGAAAACTGATTGGAAAGAGGAACAGCGAGAGACTCTGGAATCCCAGCTGGAAGCGATTGGCACTGCAGGGTTAAATCCAAGGGGATTTCAGGGCTGAAGCAGCTGAGGGGATGAGTCGGTGAGCAGAGGTGCCAGGACCTACACAGCAGGTACCACAGGGGACACCAGCACAGCTCTGCTGGGGACAGCCCGGGCTGCAGCGGGGTTTGCTCTCCCGGGTGCACAGAGCAGCGATAACACCGAGTGAGACACACACTGGGGGTTTGGAGGGCGGACAGCTCCTCCCGCAGCGCTGCAGCCCTGGAAACGCCGCCCCTCCAGGGCAGGGCACACACGGAGAGCACAGAGCAGCTGGAGCGGATCCAGCCTGCGACCCAGGCACAGCCCCTGCCCGGCGACACCGACCGCACTCAGAGAAAATCTCCTCATGGAGGGCCAGAACCGCCCTCCTCTGTGCCTCCAGTCTTTGGTAATCTCAGAGGGACACCACAAACGAGGGACATCGATGCAGCGCAACCCAAAAGCAGGGAGATCCACGGGGAAAGGGCAGCATTCCCAGCCAGAGGAAACAAACATTCAGCTTTCGGAACAAGTGTAGTGTCCTGGGCCTGCTCTCACAGCCCAGGGGAACCTGCGATTCCCTACGGCCTACACCGGGATATTGCACTTGGCAGAGTGTAGGGAGCTACAGCACTGCCCCTTCCCAGACCCAGGGGCTCCTTCCCAACAGCTCCGAGCCCCCTCTGCCACCATCCACCGCCTCCGTGTGCCCACGGGGAGCCAGGTGAGGAGCCAGGAGCAGCACAGGTGGGGGGAGGCTCCACTCCTGGGGCAGAGTCCAGCAGAAGGCTGAGGCAGCTGCCTGGGAGGACTCAGCTCTGCAGGATCGGGGATTTCTCACTCGGGGAACGGTTAGGCTTCCAAATTAAAAAGGGAAAAAAAAAACAATCCGGGAACAGCAGGGGAAAAACCCCCCACCAAACGGGCGAGTTCCCAGCTGCAGGAGCACGTGGGAGGCCAGGGAAGAAGGAACCGCTCTCTCTGCAGGAAGCCACTACCTGTCGAGGCCGGGGCCGTGCTGCAGCTTGCGGAGCAGGATCTGCGTCAGGTCGAAGGTGGTGAAGCTGATGCCCACGGCGATGGGGCCCTTGACCCAGTTCATGCTGAGCCCCTTGTAGAGGCCCCTGACGAGTCCCTCCTCGCGCACGATGTCCTGCATGGTGCGCAGGATGGAGCTGTAGGTGTGGCCCAGCACGCCGGCCGTCTGCATGCGGCGCCGCACCACGTCCAGCGGGTACGAGGCCGACTGCCCGATGAGGCCGGCGCACGCCCCGAACAGCAGCCGCTCGGGGGGCGAGGGCTGCGCCTTCCCGCTGTGCTCTGGGGAAAGCAGAGTGGGGGGACCCTGGGAATTCACTCACAATTAAAGTTTTGTTACCCAGGTTTCATTCCCTCACCCCGAACAGCAGCCGCTCGGGGGGCGAGGGCTGCGCCTTCCCGCTGTGCTCTGGGGGACACACAGTGGAATTCACTCACAATTAAGAGGACAGGGTGGAAGGATGGAGGGTTCCTTCCTGAGGTTGCGCTCGTGAGGTTTTGTTACCCCCAAAACTTGGGGTTTTGTTTTCCCGCAAGTTGCTCTCCCGAGGTTTTGTTCCCCAGAGTGAGCTCCCAAAGCTTTGTTTTCCCCAAGGTTTTGCTCCTCAGGTTTCATTCCTGAGGTTTTGTTCCCAAAGTTTTGTTCCCAAGCAAAATCTTCAGAAAGGGTCCCCAAATCACTAGAAAAAGACCCCAAATCACTAGAAAAGGACCCCAAAATATTACAAATAGTCCCCAAATCACTAGAAAAGGTCCCCAAAATCACTAGAAAAGGTCCCACAAAACAAAACCCCAAGTGATGAGACATTTACTGACATGTCACAGGTGCAACTCCCCAGGTTTTGCTCCCAACTCAGTGCACAACCAAGTCCTTTTCCAACTGGAAATTCCCCTGTTTCCCTCCACAATTCAGGCCCAGCTTTCCTTGTTCCCACCTGCTCAGACCCCTCAGCACCCCAAACCCTGCAGCATTCCCAGCTTTACCTGCGTGCACTTTCTTCAGTGTCTCGTAGGTGAAGAAGCTGAGGCCAGCGTAGGGGATGACGCCCAGGATGGTGGGAGTGAAGCCCCTGTACAAGGTTTTCAGCCCCTCCTCGCGGGATATGCGGATGAAGACGTGCACAATGCTGCTGTACCTGCCGTGGGGACACGGGGAGAGCAGACCTGTGCTGGTCAGCGGCTGGGGTGCTCCCAGCAGGGCTCTCTGATGGATTAATTGGTAATTAATTCGGCTCCGAGCTCATCGGGCAGCTCGGAGGGGGTTTCAGCTCTCTTGGGTCTCCCTGGGTCCAGCTGCCCTCCTGAACTGGTCTCCCAGTACCCATCTCCTCCCACATCCAGGCCTCTGGACATTGAATCGCTGCTCAGACCCCGGGGCTTTATCCCACCAAAGGCTCCCAGCAAGAATTGACCCAAAAAAGGGCAATAAGACCATGTGACCTCTTAAAAAACCCATAAAGTTGTGCATGGGTCACTTACATCTCCTTGGGCGTGACAGCCATGCGGGCACGGACCATGTCCAGGGGGTAGGTGAGCATGGCAGCCGTGGTGCCAGCCAGGGAGCCGGCAATGAAGCGCGGGAACGGCGTCAGTGCCCTGGAGTGGGGTGAGAGAGGAGACCAAACGTCACCTGCAGCTGCAGATCCCACTGGAGCTTCCCCCTCAGTTTCCTTCCCCCAGAGCTTCTCCCTCCAAGGTTCCACCTCACAGCTTCCCCTCAGAACTTCTACCTCAAAGCTTCCATCCTGGAATTTCCCCTCACAGCTTCTCCCTTAAAGCCTCCCCCTCGGAATTTCCCCTCACAGCTTCCCCCTTGGAGCTTCCATCATGGAACTTCCCCTCACAGCTTCTCCCTTAAAGCTTCCCCCTCGGAATTTCTCCTCGGAGCTTCTCCTCACAGCTTTTTCCTTCAGAGCTTCCATCTCAAAGCTTCCTCCCCAGAGCTTTCCCCTCACAGCTTCCACCTTGGAAGCTCTACCTCAGAGCTTCCCCCTTGGAACTTCTTCTCACAGCTTCCCCCTTGGAACCTCCACCTCAGAGCCTCCATCTTGGAGCTTCCCCTCACAGCTTCTCCTCAGAGCTTCCCCCTCAGAGCTTCCATCTTGGAGCTCCCCCGTCAGGACCCCAAGCCCCGCCGCCTCTTACTTTCCCTGGAATCCGTAGTAGTTGCCGAGGATCTGCTTGTACTCCTCGTGGGCGCAGAACTGGATGGCGGCGTAGGGGATCACCCGCACCATGGTGGCCGAGTTCCCTCTCCAGAGGCTCCAGAAGCCCTCGTTGAGGTAGGTGTGATAGATCAGCCTGTACGCTTCCTGAGGGGAGAAACCACCCGTGGGGAGCAGGCCAGGGGCAGGGGAAGGGAATAAATCACCTGTGGGAAGCAGGCCGAGGGGATAAGAGTGGATAAATCTCCCATGGGGAGAGGAAAAATCACCCGTGGGAAGCAGGCCGAGGGGATAAGAGTGGATAAATCACCCGTGGGGAGCAGGCCAAGGGGATAAATCACCCCTGGGGAGCAGGAATGCAGGGCAGGGAGCCGAGCCCACAGATTAACCCCTCCAATCCCCTGCCCACAGAGCTGCCATGGCCTCCCCGGCACATCCACGTGCTTTAAAACGCTAAATAAAGAGAAATTAATTAAAGGAAAATATCAAAATTGCACTGTGCACTTGTTTTTCAGAGCATTTCCATGCCCAGATCCCAGAATCCAGCAAGGGCAGAGTGAAGCTCCACACAAGGGCGAGGAAGGGTTTTTAGATCCCAGCCTGCCTCATTTTCCCTCTCAGGGAAGGCACAATTTACACAAAACCCCTTCCCAAACCCAAATTCATCTCCCTGGGGCCAGGCAGGAACATTTGGATCACAAACACCACGTGTGGAAAAGCTGGAATGCACAGAAAGCACTCCGGAAGTCAGGAGAGGGATCAGATCCTGGATTTAATTCCCTATAAATGCTGGAACAGCTCCTGTGTGGTTGGGGAAGGGAATGAGCACTAAAAATGGTCCCAAGATCACCAGGAAAGGTCCCCAAATCACAAAGAATAGTCCCAAAAACACCATTCCCAGTCCTTCCCTCTGTGTTTTCATGGAATGCTGCTGATAAATCCCCAAAAAAGTGAAATATCAACAAAAGATTAATTAAACACTTCAGAGCAACAGCAGACAGACATCATCTTACCTTGGCAGAAAATCTTTTTGAAGACACTAAAAATAAAAACAACAAAAAAAGAAGATTAGGGCTTGCAAGACATAAAAATAAATATTGATCCATGAATCCCTAAATAACGGATAAACAATCAGGTGTTTTGTCTAAAGGGATAAAAATAAAAGGAAAAGAATGAATGCAAGAGGAAATAGAGATTCTTTGTCTTCTAAATGCTCACATAATTTAACACAAAAGTAAATTTTTTTCCCCCTGCTGCCTGTTAGGAAAATTCAGTTTGGGCAGAATAAATGAATACATAAAAACAATTAATGAAAGAAAACCCATCAAAACTGCACTGCTCAGTTATTTTTCAGAGCATTTCCAGCCTCATTCCAGAACCCAGCGAGGGCAGAGCGAAGCTCCACGCAAGAGCAGCTCCAGCCCAGCCAAACTCAAATGAACTCCCTGATTTTTCTATTTTCTTCCCCCTTCCCCTGCATCCATCCAAAGTGACAGCACCTCCTTATCTGTGGCAGGCTTTGGGAGCAGGATTTGTTTGGCAGGAAGGGAAAGCCCTGGCTGGAAAGCTTTAATGAACGGGGCTCCAATTAAGGGGCTGCTGCAGCTCCTGCCTGGCTCATCTGAGGCTCTGGGAGCCTCTCGAGTGCATCCAACAATTCCATGCAAATCCATTTTTCCCCACTGCTGCTCCCCTGTGCAATTCAATGCTTTTATTTGGAATTTTTCTTTTTTTTTAAGGAATAAAAACTACCTCGATGAACAGTGATGGTTACCAAGGGGGTTTTGCTCCTTTAAAAATTATTTAAAATAATAAAATTGTTGAGCTGTGGGAAATTCACTGAGTTTGGGATGGCAAAGCTCATCCACCCCTCTGCCATGGACACTTTCCCCCATCCCAAGCCCCATTCCTGACTCAAGGCATTGCTTTGATGATCCAAAGATATTTTCCCTCCTCACAGACAGGGAATAAAACCCCTTAGGGCAGCAAGAACCCAAAAACCCCTATCACATCCCAAAAAATTGCTCCCATTGGAAGATTTTAATCCCATCCTGGGATGGGCTGAAGCACACAGGGATTTCAGGAATGCCCAAATTCCAGGAGATCCCCTGGCCCAGCCCAGCTCCGTGCCCCTGATGTTTCCACCCCAAAATGAACCTGGGTGTGTGGTTTGGGTGGGAAAACCCCAAAATTCAGGTGCCAGGGGCAACCCCAGCCCCCCTGATCCACATCCCAGCAATTGCAGAGCTCCTTGCTCTGCCCAGAATGAGAATCATGTGAGCAGAAATCAATTCTAAATTAAATGTCAGCCAGGGATTAGGCTGAGCCCAACTCAGTTAATCTGGGATGTCACCAGGCTTAAAATTCTTGGCTTTCCCAAATGTCCACTGAATTAAAGGCCTGTGCTGTTCCCCTTGGGGTAATTGGAGGAGTCGCTCTGCAACAGATCCCACAATCCCCAAATCCTGCTAAACACAGGGAAATTCTCTGTTCCACTCACAGGAATGTCATTTTCTGTGGCAATTCAGGGGTGCCAGAGCACACAGATCCGGGCATGGGCAGCCCCAGTGCCTGCTGCCTCTCATTTTGGGGAGAGCTGACACAATTTGGGCACCCAGCCCGCAGCAGGGAACCCTCACAGCCCAATTCCCCCTTCCCAGAGCCCCCACATCTCCAGGGGAAGGAGCTGGATGAGCACAGAGGGCTCAAAATTAAAAACAATTTGGGAAAAGAGCCCGGGGGAGTCACCTTGGAACATGATTTTTGTCCTGTCCAGAGGAGCCACTGCAGTTTTAGCCACAGCGCCAGCCAGAGCCCCGGACATCAGTGAGTTCAGCACTTTCTTCTTCTCCTGGTTATCCTGACAAAAAAACATTGGATAAAGGGGAAAAAAAATTAAAAATCAATGCCACAAGGAATAACATTTCACCTTTTGTGCAGCATTTTCCCCAGGGCCAGGATTTGGGTCAAAATGTCTCGCTGAGTTTCCAGCACAGTGCATTCGCTGCTGGTTGGACTGGGAGGCAGAATTCCGAGCATTCCTCCTGCATGTGTTGTTTGCTCCCTGTTATTTCTCTTTCTTCTCCCTCCCCACGATTTTTGGGCACGGGCAGAGGGGAAGTTTTGGAAGAGAAGCACCCCAGCCCTGTTCCCACACCATTGCCAAGCTCCTGAGGGTCAGTCCAGGCACTTTTCCCCTTCTGTGGTGGAATGAGAGGGATTTTGCTGCTGGCATTCCTGCCACAGCTCACAGTTATAAAATCAGCATTTTTGTCCCACAGAGAACAACAACAAAAAGCCACAAAATCCAACCCAGTGGAGGCTGTGCAGTGAGAACAAGCCCGGGCTTGATGTGTGAACTTTTGCCACTCTGTGGAGGACAGGAGTTAACATTTTCCTTGTGTTTCCCAACCCCAGAGTTAATGTTTATGACCCAAAACCCCAGGGTCAGCTCAATTCCCCCTCCTCAGGCGGGCAAAGGTGAACTTCAGCCCCAGGTCTGGGTTAAACCCAGCAAGGCTGGGAGGAATCTGCCTTCTCCTGAGCTTCCAGGGGCAGGGAAAGCACAGAGTGGGGCAGCCTGACTGGGAACGGTCCTGGGTGCCACTGGGAGCCACTGGGAATTGTGTCCTGTGTGTCACTGGGATTGTCCTGTGTGTCATTGGAATGGTCCTGGGTGCCACTGGGAGCCACTGGGAATTGTGTCCTGTGTGTCACTGGGATTGTCCTGTGTGTCATTGGAATGGTCCTGGGTGCCACTGGGAGCCACTGGGAATTGTGTCCTGTGTGTCACTGGGATTGTCCTGTGTGTCATTGGAATGGTCCTGGGTGCCACTGGGAGCCACTGGGAATTGTGTCCTGTGTGTCACTGGGAATGGTGTCCTGTCACTGGGAATGCTCCTGTGTGTCACTGGGAACTGGCCTGTGTGTCCCTGGGAATTGTGTCCTGTTACTGGGAATTGTTCTGTGTGTCACTGGGAATGATCCAGTCTGTGACTGGGAATGCTCCTGGGTGTCCCTGGGAATTGTGTCCTGCGTGTCACTGGAATTGCCCTGTGTGTCACTGGGAATTGTGTCCTGCGTGTCACTGGAATTGCCCTGTGTGTCCCTGGGAATTGTGTCCTGCGTGTCACTGGAATTGCCCTGTGTGTCCCTGGGAATGCCCAGCCCGTCCCCAAGGGGACGGGAAGGTCTGGATCCCCTCCCACCCCATGGACTGCAGCTCTTGGGAGCCCAGAGCTCAAAGCCCAGCCTGGTTTGGGGTGCAAGGAGCTGCACCCAACCCCTCCAGACCCTTCCAGGGCTGGAGGCAGAGCTGAGGTGGGGTCTCACTTGAGAGGGGGAATGAATTCCCTCCCTGGAAATGCAGGTGGGGTCTCACCTGAGAGGGGGGAATGAATTCCCTCCCTGCAGCTGCAGGTGGGGTCTCACCTGGGAGGGGGGAATGAATTCCCTCCCTGCAGCTGCAGGTGGGGTCTCACCTGAGAGGGGGGAATGAATTCCCTCCCTGCAGCTGCAGGTGGGGTCTCACCTGGGAGGGGGGAATGAATTCCCTCCCTGCAGCTGCAGGTGAGGTCTCACCTGAGAGGGGGGAATGAATTCCCTCCCTGGAAATGCAGGTGGGGTCTCACCTGAGAGGGGGGAATGAATTCCCTCCCTGGAAATGCAGGTGGGGTCTCACCTGGGAGGGGGGAATGAATTCCCTCCCTGCAGCTGCAGGTGGGGTCTCACCTGAGAGGGGGGAATGAATTCCCTCCCTGGAAATGCAGGTGGGGTCTCACCTGGGAGGGGGGAATGAATTCCCTCCCTGCAGCTGCAGGTGAGGTCTCACCTGAGAGGGGGGAATGAATTCCCTCCCTGGAAATGCAGGTGAGGTCTCACCTGAGAGGGGGGAATGAATTCCCTCCCTGGAAATGCAGGTGGGGTCTCACCTGGGAGGGAGGGATTCTCTTCACCCCAGTCCCAGCCCTGCTCTCACCTCTGCAGGAATCCAGGCCGGGCCGGGCTCCACATCCCTCTGGAATTCCACTGGAGCTTCTCTCACACCATTACCCATACCAGTCACACTGCCGCGGGGCCAGCAGAGCTCCAGCTCCTGAACGCAACCCAGAACACAGAGGAAAAACGTCAAAAATGGGAAATGTTCCGGAGATACAGCTCAGGGTTAGGGAGCGACCCACCCCCAGCTGAAATTCCTCTCCCAGCTCCCAGGAAAAGGGCACTCCCAGGATCCTGCTGCCATTTCCTTCCTTTAAGGTGTAAATGGATTTTTAGGGGTGCCAGATAAAAGCTGTGCCATTCATATCAACCCTTCTCACCCCACAAAGAACTCAGCTGCAATAAACCACCAAAATATCCATAATTTCCAGGGAAAAGGAGCAGATCCTGCCCTCTCCCAGTGAGCATTTTTGGCTCCTTGGGACTGCTGAACAAGGAGACACTGGAGAAGGAAAATGGAAATTTAAAACCCTTTGGAAAAAGGGGAAAAAATAGTCCAGGCGTGAGTTCCCCCGGGGCAAGGGGAGGCTATTTTGGGCAGAGAGGGATCCAGTGCCTCACACGTGCCACGAGGGCCATTGTGGGTCTCACTGCTGCCTTCCAGGACTCCCTCTCCTCCCAGGCTTTCCCTGCTCTGAGATGTTCCCAAACCCAAGCCACAGGAGGAAAGGTCAGCCTGACCTCGGCTGCAGAGCGTGGACGAAGGAATAATTCTGTTTAAATGGAATAATTCGCTTTTTTAGCTCTGACTTTCTGATATTCCTGCCTTTTAAGCTGCAGCTTGTCCAGCCTGGAATCTGCAGGGCTGGGATTGCTGCTGTGCCCAGCCCCGAGCTGGCCCTGGAGCTGCTCAGAGGGGCCCTGCAAGGACCCAAATCCCTTTTCCAAGGCACAGAGCTGCCCCCACAGCCCCGTTTGGAGGGTGAAACCCTGCAGGGAAACGACGAGGAAATGAGAATTCCTGAATTCAGGCACGTCCCTCCCTCCGATGCCTGCGGAACCTCGTGCACAGCAATTTGCTTACGTGGGGATAAAAATCCATTCCCAGCCTCTTTTCCCCCCTTTTTTGACAATCTCAGGTACTTTGTGCTTGTCAGCACCTTTCAGACGTGCTGACCTGCTTCTTTCCCCTCATAAATGAGCGCCAGCCCTCATTTCCCAGCCTGGCAGCAGATCTCAAACACAAAGCTCAGCCCTGGCTGAACTCAGGCATGACCAATTTGGGATGAAGGAGCCTCACCCTCGCTCCAGAGCGGGGAAAACACACCTGGAGGCCTTTAATTATCCCACAGTTAACGATGTTTGGGGTCGGGGAGGACTTTTAGGATCATCTCATCCCACCCCACACTTCCACCACCTCGAGTTGCTGTGACCCAGCCTTGGGATGGGGCGGCCACGGCTCCTCTGGGGATTCCCTCACCCCAAAATTCCTTCACAGAGCTGGAATTCCTTCCTAATTAATTATCCCACAATTAACAATGATGGCTTTTAGGATCACCTCATCCCACCACCTCGAGCTGCTCCAACCTGGCCTTGGGATGGGGCGGCCACGGCTCCTCTGGGAATTCCCTCACCCCAAAATTCCAAAATTTTACACCTTTGGTTGTCAAATTCCCTTTTGTTTTTAGACAGGTGCAGACTTTATCCCTGCCCTGCCTGCAATAAATGTAGGTCACGATATCAGATCCATCCCTGCCAAAAATAAAAATAACCCTCCTTCCCTTCACCCCCCAGAAAAGAAATGGTGCTAAAGGGCAAAGGAATGCAAAATGCAACTTTCTTTTAAAACACAACAATTGGGAAAGAGAGGCCTGGAGGGAAATTTGCCAGATTTAAATGATGGCATTAAGGCCGGATTTATTTTTGCATCATTTACTCCACAATATTCCCTTTATCCCGTTCAGCCACATTCCTTTTCTATTTTTGGTGCCTGAGCCTACAAACACCTGTTTGTGTGCTCCATTTTACACATCAGCATGCACAGGCTCCAGAGCAAAAATAACTTTTATTTATTTATTATTTCTATTCCCTTCTGCTGGCCCCAAAGCTGGATTTCATTCTGGCCTCGGGCTGGATTCTGAGGTCAGGGGATTATTCTGACCGAGAATTCACATTGGAGCCACAAAAAACCAAAAATTATCTTAAAATTCGGTCTGAATTAAAGTTTTGGTGTCAGTTTGCAGTGCCTGGGAATAATCAGAATAATGGCAATAATCACAATAACGGGAATAATCACAATAACGGGAATAATCTGAATAATTGCTCCTTCCCACAGCCAAAATTCCTTCACACAGCCACAGAGCAATTATTCAGATTATTTCCATTATTCAGATTATTCACATTATTCCCATTATTGGATTATTCCCATTTTTCCCAGGGGTTTGGGAGCCAGCAGAGGAAACCTTGGCAAGGGCAAACAGAGCAATTATTCTGATTATTCCCATTATTCTGATTATTCCTATTATTAGATTACTCCCATTGTTTAGACTATTCTGATTATTCCCATTATTCCAATTATTCCCATCATCCCCATTATTCAGATTATCCCCATTATTGGGTGGGTTATTCCCATTTTTCCCAGGGGTTTGGAGCCAGCAGAGGAAACCCTGGCAATGAAACACAGAGCGATTATTCTGATTATTCCCATTATTCCAATTATTCCCATTATTCGATTATTCCAATTTTCCCCATTTTCCAGGGATTTGGAGCCAGCACAGGGAACTCTGGCAAGGGAACACAGAGTGATTATTCTGATTATTATTCCCATTATTCCCATCCTCCCCGTTATTCAGATTACCCCCATCATTGGATTATTCCCATTATTCCCATCCTCCCCGTTATTCAGATTACCCCCATCATTGGATTATTCCCATTATTCCCATCCTCCCCGTTATTCAGATTACCCCCATCATTGGATTATTCCCATTATTCCCATCCTCCCCGTTATTCAGATTACCCCCATCATTGGATTATTCCCATTATTCCCATCCTCCCCGTTATTCAGATTACCCCCATCATTGGATTTCTCCCATTATTCCCATTTTCCAGGGATCTGGGAGCCAGCAGAGGGATCCCAGAGCTCTCCTCCATCCCCCAGAGCCGCAGCCCTTATCAGCAGCCGCGTTATCTCAGCGAGGGCACAGCTCCTGCAGCACCAACAATTCTCCTTTTTCCGAGAAAAAAACCCAACCCCAACCCCTCCCCGAGCTCCAAAGAGTTGCTTTTAAAATTTCAATTTGATTATTTTCTGGAAAATCAGGAAGCACGATTGCAGTTATTCATAATAAACATAAAACAAAATTCATTCACCAAAAAAAAAAAAAATTTTTTCGATTCACTTTTTGAAGTGAAAAAAAGAGGAAAAATCAGAATAAATGCTCCTCCAAGTAGCAGCAAAGTGACTCAAAACCAAAATAACTTCTGGCTCCTGAGGGTTTTATTTTTTATTTTCCTGACAGAAACCTGTCTGACCTGTCCCAAACCCATCCCAGCTCAGGGCCCTGCTCTGAACTTTGTGCAACCTCCTGAAGCCAAACTTGTCACACCAAAACCACCAGGGCAGAAATAAATAAAATAAAATAAAATAAAATAAAATAAAATAAAATAAAATAATTATTAAATAAATAATAAAATAATAAAACAATTAAATACTTGGGGTTGCCAAATTCCCTTGTCAGACGATTCCTGCTGAAATCCAACCCCAGCACAGCCCCAGCCCCTCTTTCCTCAGGGTCCCAGTTTGGGAAAATAAAGATAAAATAAAAATAAAGAAAAAATGAAATAAAAATTAAAATAAAATAGAATGAAATAAAAATAAAATAAAAATAAAATAGAATTAAATAAAAAAAAATAAAATAAAAATAAAAATAAAAATAAAAAAAAATTCTGAACTAAACAGGACACGCATAGCTCTGTGGATGCTCAGGGCTGGAACCCAGCCATGGTTATTTTGAATTCCTGTCAGCCACAGGTTGGATTTTCTGAGTTGTTTAAAACCTCAGGATGTTGCGAAAATACTCCAGAAATGCACCTGAGCCACGGAGGAGCAGCCAAACCCACACACACACACTGAGGGTGGTGCAGCTTCAAAACTGCTCCAAACCAGCAGGCAGGAGGGAAAAACACCATAAACACACACAAAAATTGGGAAAAAAATCCGTAAAGACACACAAAAAATACGGAAAATCCATAAAGACACACAAAAAAGGGGGGAAAATCCATCAACATACATTAAAAAATGGGGGGAAAAAATCCATCAACATACACAAAAAATGGGGAAACAATCCATAAAGACACACAAAAAATGGGGAAAAATGCCATAAACACACACAAAAAATGGGGGGAAAATGCCATAAATACGCACAAAAAAATGGGAAAAAAATCATTAAGACCCAAAGCACATCCCCGGCAGCCCGGCCGCGGGGCTCGGGTGGATCTCGGCCAGTTCCCCGGCACAGGCTCCGCCTGACCCCGCTGGGGCACTGCCAGCATTCCCGGCTCCCTTCGCCCACCGACGGCTCCAACCCCGCCGGGAGCTGGGCAAAGGTTTCGGTTCTTTTAATTCCCGATAATCCAATTTTCACACCCCCCTGTGCAGGGGAGATCCCGCAGCACAGAAACTTCCCTGGGCTGGAATTTCAGTTTCTTGGAGACTGAAATGAACAACAAAAAATTCACATTTATGGTTTGGGGTGGGAGGGGAACAGAGGCGGCGCAGAGAGGGATGGCAGGGCAGGGACAGGGACACGGGGCTGGCAGGGCATGGACGGGGACACTGGGACAGACTGGGAAGGAAAAGGGACACTGGGACAGGCTGGCAAGGTGGCAAGGCAGGTGGTAGCAGGGCAGGGGCTGGCAAGGTGGGAGCAGGGCAGGTTGGGGCTGGGAGAGTGAGGGAAACAGGGAAAGCAGGGGCTGGAAAGGCAGAGAAACAGGCAGGGAAATAGAGAACAGGTGGGGAAACAGAGAACAGGTGGGGAAAGCAAGGGAAAAGAGCAGGGAGGAAGGAAGGGAAAAGGAGCAGGGTAAAAGGAGCAGGGCAAGCGCAGCCCCCGCTCAGCCCTCCCGGGGCCGTCCCGGGGCGCTCGCTCAGCCCCGCCGGGAGCGCTCCCGCAGCCCGGGCACTGCGGGCCGGGCCTCCCGCGCGGTGCCGCGGCCCGGGGCGAGCGCAGCCCAGGCCGGCCCCGCTCCCCGCCGCCCAGCCCGGTCCCGTTCCCCCGAGCGCACCAGCCCGGTCCCGTTCCCCCGCCGCAGCCCCGGGCCCGCCCGGCGCGGGGTGACCCCGCGGGAGGCCGCGCCAATGTCACCGGAGCCCCGCGCCGCCGCCACGCGCGGGCCGGGCGGGCCCGACAGCCAGGCCGCGGTGCTGGGGCACCGGGGCCGCGTCACTGCCCGCGGCGGGGCCGGCCCGGCCCGGCCCGCACTCACCGGCTCCGCTGCGCGTCCGCCCCGGCCGCGTCCGCCGCCGCCAGGCCGCCCCCGCTGCGCCGCGGGAGGCGGGGCCCGCCCCGGGGCGCGGCCAATCGGCGCGGCGGGGGCAGAGCCCCGTGCGCGGGGATTGGCTGCGGGTAAGGATTGACAGGTGAGGCGGCCAATGGATGAGGGGGGCGCGGCAGGAGGCGGGGCGCCTGTAGCGGCACGGGGCGGGCGGGGAGCGCTCGGTGCGGGGGCGGGGGGCGCGGGCGGGCCCGGGGAGTGCCCGGGACAGCGAACGGGACAGCGAACGGGACAGCGAACGGCACCGCTGGGACTGCCCGGGACAGCGAACGGCAACGGGAGAGTGCCCGGGACACCGAACGACACTGCTGGGAGTGCCCGGGACACCGAACGACCCCGCCGGGATCCCGAGCAGCCCGACCGGGGCCCCCGGCGAGCCCGGCTCGAGCAGCGACAGTCCCGCCCGGTTCCCCCCTGCAGCAGCGGTGCGGGGTGCGCAGATCCCGCCCGTCCACACCGGGGAGCGCCCGGGGATCCCGGCCGGTTCTGCTGCCCTGCACGGCCCCGGTGTCCCGCGGGCCGCGGCTCTGCCCGGTCCCCGCGGCAGTGGCGGTGGGCGCTCAGCTCCAGCGGGTCCCGGTTAAAGGACACGGAACTGAAATCCCGCGGGTTGGATCCTCCCCCAGCCCTTGGGAAGGAAATGAAATCCGGCAGGAATCCCCCGTTTGATCCCCCCCAGCCTTTGGGGCTGCTCTCCCACCCCAAACCCGCCAGGAAGGCAAAGCTGGGGAGCCCTGGGCTGCCCCAAACCCGCTGCCCCCAGTTCTCCCCAAAACCCCCCAAAGATGTCGTTCTGCACCTTCCCCCTCCGGGGCCCTTCCAGCCCGGCTCCCAAAAAGAGCCACGCACACAGAGCCACGCAGCCCTGCAAGGTTTGTGTGTTTTATAAGGTCACCATTTTTACAGAGAATATCACATTAAAAACACCCACTCACAAAACTGGCAGCGGCACAGGAGGAAGGCTCAGCAGCAGAGCCTTGAGCTGAGGCTTCAGAGCCTTTTTGGCCCACAGAGCCCCAGTTCTGCCCCAGCCCGTGAGGTTCTTGGCCCGCTCACTGCAATGAAACGTTCCTGGGGCCCGGGCAGTGCCAAGGGGTGACAGAGCCCGGGATGGGATTGCCAGTGGCACCAGCGCCTGCTTGGTCACTCTCTGGAATCCCCACCCCACTGCCAGCCCCTGCCCTGCTCCCCTCACTGAGGGAGAACGTGAACTTTCCTCCTGGATGCCAACAGTTCCTTTGGATGTCATCCCAATTCCTTACTTTGCCTTTTTTTTCTTTTCTTATTTTTTTGTATTTTTTTGTTGTTTTTTTTGTTTTTGTTTTTGTTTAAAACGTTACGCTGGCAGAAAAATCCCAAACAAAGCAGCAACACAAGAGTGGGGTCAGCAGTAGAAGAACAGGGCAATGGGACAGAGAGAGCACATTCACAAATGCTGGGGCTCCTCCTGACGCAGCCCCTGAGTGGGGCACAAACGGAACCAGCAGCAAACCGGGCAGGACAGAGCCAGCCCCGCTGTCCCCGGGGCACCGGAGCAGTGACAGCAGCCCCGTCCTGCCTGGGGGAGCAGATCATCCTCAGCCGTGAGATGATCCAGGCAATGATCACTGCACAGAGCTGGTTTGCAGGCTGGGAATGCAGAAGCCGTTTCTGCTGCAGCTCCCTGGGTCCAAGTTCCCTGCAGCCTCCCCGGGCCGGGTTTGCTCCGTCGGGCAGGACCATCCACGGGCAGGGCAGATCCACACATGGGCAGATCCATCCAAGGCAGGACCATCAACGGGCAGATCGATCCGCGCGCAGATCCATCCAAGGCAGATCTATTCACGGGCAGATCCATCCAACGCCGCCTCCGCCAGGCCCGGGGGCTCGGGCACTCTGCACCCTCCCTGCTGCTGCTGCCAGGAGCCCTCACTGGGCCAGGCCGCCCCTCTGGCCCGTCCAGAGCTCCCGCAGCTCCACCTGGCAGCCCAGGTCCCTGAGCGCCGCCCTGGCCACGTCGTCGCAGTCGCGGTGGGCGGCGCGCGCCTCGGCGATCAGCACCTCGGCCCCCAGCGCCAGGATGGGCCCGCACAGCTCCCGGCTGCGCGACACCAGGTTCCGGATCAGCATGCACGCCTGCTTCTGGGGACGGACACACAGACACGCAGACACACAGACAGGGTCACTGGGGCTGCAGGGAACCGTGGGGTCAGTGGGTGTTACAGGGAAGCCCAGGGGTCACTGGGCTATGCAGGCAAGCCCAGGGCTCAGAGGATTCCTGAGGATGCCCACAGGATTCCTGAGAGTGCCCATAGCTCAGAGGACTCCTGAGGGTGCCCAGGGCTCAGAGGATTCCTGAGAGTGCCCATAGCTCAGAGGACTCCTGAGGGTGCCCAGGGCTCAGAGGATTCCTGAGGGTGCCCAGGGCTCAGAGGATTCCTGAGGACGCCCATAGCTCAGAGGACTCCTGAGGACGCCCAGGGCTCAGAGGATTCCTGAGGGTGCCCAGGGCTCAGAGGATTCCTGAGGACGCCCACAGCTCAGAGGATTCCTGAGGGTGCCCAGGGCTCAGAGGAATTCTGATGGAAGCCCAGGGCTCAGAGGATTCCTGAGGACGCCCATAGCTCAGAGGACTCCTGAGGACGCCCAGGGCTCAGAGGATTCCTGATGGAAGCCCAGGGCTCAGAGAACAGCCCTGCCCACCCCAGCCGTGCTGTGAGGGACCCACCTGCACGGCCACCTCCCGCGGGTGAGCCTTCATGGCCTGCAGGGCCGCCAGGGCGCCGCCGCCCTCCACGATGACGCTGCAGTTCTCGGGCTTGCGCAGGGCCAGCATGCACAGGGCGGCGCAGCCCTGCTCGCAGATCTGCAACCACAGGGGGCACCGAGTCAGCTCACCGCCTGCCCCCTGCCCTGCAGCAGGGAACGCGGCCCTCCTTTCCTGGCAGGGCACTTTTGGAGGGGTTTGGATTGTTCTGAAGCTTCTCCCGCTGCTCTGGCACGTAAAGCAAGGGGAGGGTTGGGATTGTGATCTTAGAGATATTTCCAACCTTGATAATTATGTGTTTTGCACACCAGAGGTGTAAACCACCACCCCCACCATCCATCTCATTGAGGAATAAGAAAAATAAACACTACAAGGTGGAAAACCCCTAAATTCACACAAATATTGGAGACTGTGGCCAAAGTCAAGGTCTATGCACTGCTCAGCTGCACACACACATCCTGCAGCTCCAGCTGAGCTCCATCCCCACCCAGAGGGGCGCCCAGGGCCCTGGGGGTACCTGAGGGTGCCCAGGGTTACCTGAGGGTGCCCAGGGTTACCTGAGGGTTGCCCAGGTGGGTCCCTGAGGGTTGCCTGGTGGGTACCTGAGGGTGGCCCAGGTGGGTACCTGAGGGTTGCCTGGTGGGTACCTGCGGGTTGCCCAGGTGGTGGCTGATGGCCAGCACGATGAGCTCGGTGGCCCCGGCGTCCACGATGGCGTCCTTGACGTCGTCGTTGCCGGCCACGGCGCGGATGGCGCTGAGCACCTGCTTCACCACGTCCTGCCCGGGGGAACAGCAGCTCAGAGAGCAGCACGGAGAGCTGGGCAGCTCAGAGAGCAGCACGGAGAGCTGGGCAGCTCAGAGAGCACAGCACAGAGAGCTGGGCAGCTCAGAGAGCAGCACGGAGAGCTGGGCAGCTCAGAGAGCAGCACGGAGAGCTGGGCAGCTCAGAGAGCAGCACGGAGAGCTGGGCAGCTCAGAGAGCACAGCACGGAGAGCTGGGCAGCTCAGAGAGCACAGCACAGAGAGCTGGGCAGCTCAGAGAGCAGCACGGAGAGCTGGGCAGCTCAGAGAGCACAGCACAGAGAGCTGGGCAGCTCACAGAGCACAGCACAGAGAGCTGGGCAGCTCAGAGAGCACAGCACAGAGAGCTGGGCAGCTCAGAGAGCAGCACAGAGAGCTGGGCAGCTCAGAGAGCAGCACAGAGAGCTGGGCAGCTCAGAGAGCAGCACAGAGAGCTGGGCAGCTCAGAGAGCACAGCACAGAGAGCTGGGCAGCTCAGAGAGCAGCACGGAGAGCTGGGCAGCTCAGAGAGCACAGCACAGAGAGCTGGGCAGCTCACAGAGCACAGCACAGAGAGCTGGGCAGCTCAGAGAGCACAGCACGGAGAGCTGGGCAGCTCACAGAGCACAGCACGGAGAGCTGGGCAGCTCAGAGAGCAGCACGGAGAGCTGGGCAGCTCAGAGAGCACAGCACAGCATCCCCGTTCCGTGAAAATGGCTGTGGCAATCATCAGCTACCAACACTCTGCCCACAGTCACTGCCCTGCTGCACAAGGGACCTTGGAAACCTCTGCCAGAGCATCAGCGAGGCTGAAAAAATCAGACATCAACCTCTGGGACCTGAGCATCCAAACGCTCTGTTTAAAGTCTGTTTTTGGTGGAAAACCAAAACAATTCTGTGCCCCTGTCATATTTTCTGGAAAAATCCCTTTGCCAGGATTTCTCTCCTGGGAAGCTGAGAAGCCTCAGAGAAAAAGGAAAACAATAATTATCTGATTGCATCTCCTGTGTTTTGCTGCTTTGGAATGTGGTTGGAGATTGTTTCATTGGTTTCATGTAAATTGTTTTGACTTAATGACCAATCCCGGTCAGGCTGTGTCAGACTCTGGAAGGAGTCACGAGTTTTCATTATAACTTTTTGTAGCCTTCTGTCTGCATCCCTTCTCTATTCTTTAGTATAGTTTTAGTACAGCATTCTTTAATATAACACATTCTAGCATCATGAAATAGTAAACTAGCCTTCTAAGAACATGGAGTCAGATTCCTTCATTCCTCCTCCATCTGGGGAACCCAGAAAGCACCACGGGCCGCGCTCACCCACTGCCATGAGCCCCCTTGCTGAGGATGAGGAGCCCCCAGCCCAGCCCAGCCCAGCCCAGCCCAGCCCAGCCCCTCTGCAGGGCTCACAGCGTGCTCCATGCAGTCAGCCAGCAGAGTCACCATGAAGTTCAAGCCGCCCAGGTCCACGATCTCCTGGCAGAACTCGTTCCTGACGGAGAGGCGGGAGAGGGTGGCGCAGAGCTCGCTGAGAACCGCAGAGTTATCCCTGAAGGCTGCGGAGGAGAGAGGGATGGAGCAATTACTGCACAATTAACGGGGTTTACTTTGGTTAATTACACAGGGAACACTGCATTTTGTTCTATGTATTCAAACAAGGAGATGACACCTGCTCACTCTGGTCACAATGTCCTCTCTGGACCAGAGGCAGTGAGCAGAGACAAGAGGGCCCTGAGCCTGTAAAACTTCCTAAATACACTGAGAAACTGCTCTGATCATCTGACTGCCCCACAGGCTATCAGCAGCACCACAGTGGCACTTTCTGGCTCTCTCAGGGCACATTTCAGGGATAGAACTAAACCCCAGTTGAGTGACAAATTCTTGAATCACCTCCGAGGAGCTTCAAGTTCTGACAATGAGAGCAGAAATCAGAGAATGGGAGAAGAGAAATCACAAGGGATTCCTGAGAAGAAACCACAAGTGATTCCTGAGACAGTGAGAAGAAATCACAAGAGATTCCTGAGAAGAGATCCCAAGTGATTCCAGAGACAGTGAGAAGAAATCACGAGTGATTCCTGAGAAGAAACCACAAGTGATTCCAGAGACAGTGAGAAGAAATCACGAGTGATTCCTGAGAAGATAGCACAAGCGATTCCGGAGACAGTAAGAAGAAACCCCAGGTGCTCCCCATGAGGATCAGCGTCCCCAGGTCCCTGTCACCTTTGGCAGCCTCGATGAGGACTCTCAGCCCGTCGTTCTCCAGCACGATCATCTTGGCGTGGTCGTGGGCGTGCCCGAAGGGCACTCGGATGTCATCGTCGAAGGTCATGACCCGGAGGGCCGAGGCCGCGGTCCTGACGAGCTCGGCGGCGCCGCCGCGCCGGGCGAGGGCGCCGGTGATGGCCCCGGTGAGCGCGGGCAGCACGCCGCCCCGCACGAAGGCCTGCCGGTTGCGCTCGTGCTTGAGGCAGGCGTGGCGCACGCAGCGGATCCCGGCCAGCGTGGCCTCGTCGTCCCCGCGCCGCTCCCGCAGGCTCCGCAGCAGCAGCTCCCGGCCCGCCGCGTCCAGCAGGTCCGGCTGCCCGTCCAGCAGCGCCGCCAGCGCGGCCAGCGCCTGCAGCAGCAGCTGCCTGTCCCCCGCGGCCAGCCGGCACGCCGACAGCACCGCGCCGTACGCGCCGTGGCGGCCGGCCAGGCAGCGGAACGCGAGCTGCTCCCTGCACTGCGCCGCCAGCAAGGCCAGCTGCTGCGGCAGCTGCGCCACGTCCTGCTCCGCCACGGCCCGGGCCAGGCTCTCCAGGGTCTGGGGGACACACCGAGGGTTAGTGCTGCACGTGGGGCGTGCAGGGGAACAGCGGCGTGGGGGTTCTGGGGCTGGAAATCGCTTCGGGGCAATGGGAGCGGTGGTTTATGGTGATCGGGGTTTGTGCACACAACCCCTGGAGGGACAGGGGCTCCCAGGGTCTGGGGGACACACCAGGAGTTAGTGCTGCACCTGAGTGTGCAGGAGGAACAGCGGCGTGGAGGTTCTGGGGCTGGAAATCGCTTTGGGGCAATGGGTGGTTGTGCCGTTACGGTGTTTAGGATTTGTGCACGCAACCCCTGCAGGGACAGGGGCTCCCTGTGCCACCACTGCCACAGCTCCATGGGGCACCAGTACCAGCTGAACTGGGTCGAACCAGCCCATTCCAGCTCTGCAAGTGTCCACGGCCACGTTGGACCGAGCTTGGAGCAGCCTGGGCTAAGTGGGGCTGATCTCCACCGTGTCCCCAGCCCAGAGCCACCTCCTGTCACCCATGGGACACCTGCAGGGACGGGGACCCCAAACCTCCCTGGGCAGCCCTGAGCACCCTCCCCACGAGGAAATCCCTCCTGATGTCCCACCTGAGCCTACCCCGAGGCTGTTCCCTCCTGTCCTGCCCCGGGAGCAGAGCCTGAACCCAGCTCACCTACACAGAGCCCTCCCTGCAAAGGGCAAGGGGCTCCTGGAATGTTTTATATTTGCAGAATAAATAGGATTAACTGCCTGAGGAGCTCCCAGAGAAATGGGGCAGAGGCAGAAGTTGGCCTAGTATTTATATTATTATTATTGTTATATAACCCTGAGAGAGGGAGAGCAGCAATCTGTGCTCCTACCAGCAGGATTTGGTGCTTTTGCCTTTGCCCGTTCTCAGAGGCAGGAGGTCGCACAGCCTTCACAATATTGCTCAGGTCCACACCTAAAAGGAGAAATAAAACCAAGTTTAATACTGCTTCCAGGGTAATTGGAGTCAAATAAACAGTATTAGCTACATTCTAGGGAAAAGCTGCCAAGGTAACCACAGAGAACAAAGATGAACTTGTAAAGATGCTGAAATATTCAATTCTGACTGTAAGGCCAGATTCTGCCTGGAACAAAGCTAGATGTCAGTTGAGGGGGAAAAAAAAAGAAATTTAATTTCACTGACCAAATTTTGCCCTCCAGCTTCCCTCTAAGCAGTTTTGCAGTCATAATTAATCCACAAAAGCAGGTCAGCATTAATGGTGTCTCTGTTCCATTTCACAAAGGCTCCTTTCCAATGCTGCACGACCCACCTCTGCCTGCAGGACTCCTTCAAACCCTGAGGATGTGTAAAAGAGCCCAGCCTGCAGAGTGCACGGTACCTTGGGCCTCGAACTGCAGCACGGCTTCTCTCACAGCCTCCTCGGGCTCCATCTCGAACTCGGTGATGTTCTCCTGCACCGCCTCATCGAACGTCTCCTGGGCGATCTGCTTGGAGCCCATGGTGCCGGCACGGGCTGGGTCCGCCTCGGTGTCCTGCTGCTGACAGAGGCACGGCTCGTTTGGTGTAAAACCTTCTCAATGCCTAAAACCTTTCAGCAGAGCCCGAGCAAGGGCCCGGTTCCTCGTTCTGGTGTAAAACCCTTATAACGCCCGGCAGAGCCCGAGCAAGGGCCCGGTTCCTCGTTCTGGTGTAAAACCCTTATAACGCCCGGCAGAGCCCGAGCAAGGGCCCGGTTCCTCGTTCTGGTGTAAAACCCTTATGACGCCCGGCAGAGCCCGAGCAAGGGCCCGGTTCCTCGTTCTGGTGTAAAACCCTTATGACGCCCGGCAGAGCCCGAGCAAGGGCCCGGTTCCTCGTTCTGGTGTAAAACCCTTATAACGCCCGGCAGAGCCCGAGCAAGGGCCCGGTTCCTCGTTCTGGTATAAAACCCTTATGACGCCCGGCAGAGCCCGAGCAAGGGCCCGGTTCCTCCCGCAGACAAAGGCTCAGAACTCTGAATCAAAGATACCCGCTCAAAGGCACGGCCGCTGTTTTAGTTAATGGGGAAAGCACGGCAGGGAAGAGGGATAGGGAAGCATTTCAGCAGCATTTCTGGGTTTCCGTGGGGTTTCAGAGCTGTCACCGTGACGGGGCTCTCGCTGCAGCAGAGGGCACCGCGCCCGCTCACGGCCCCGGCCCTCAGCCCGCCCTGCCCCTTCCCCCGGGCCCCGGAGCATCCCACACCCCGCAGCTCCCAGAGACGCGGAAAGAGCCCCGAAGGGAGGCGGCGGTGCCGGGGGAGCTCCGGGGGCACCCGCGGCCCCGCTGCCCCTCACGACCCACCTGGGCTCCACCGGCCGCCCCCGCCGCACAAAAGGCGAGGGCGGAACGGCCCCGCTCGGCCGCCGTACGTGCCCTCTGCGCGTGCGCCGCGGCCCCAATTCGCACCGCTCGCCCTCACGCCGAGCGAAAAAGAACGCGGAGGGCGGCAACGCGCACGCGCGCCGCTCCCACGCACGCGCAGTAGGTGCAGCGTGCCCAGGCGCGCCCGCAGGGCAGCGGCGGGTCCCTCAGAGCGGGAGGCCGCGGGCCGCTCCCCTCGCTCCCGTCCCGCTTACCGGCAGCGTCCCGCACCGTTAGTACCGCCCCGCGCCCGCCCGCAGGGGATGAGGCGGCTCCGAGAAGCGCAGGCGCGGCGGGAGGGGGCGGGACGCGAGGGCGTGGTTAAAGCGTGAGGAGGCGTGGCCCGTGCGGAAGAAAGGCGTGGTTATACCGGTGTGGGGGCGTGGCCTAGAAGGGGGCGTGACCACCCGGTGTCTCCGGGAGCGACGGGAGGGGCGTGGCCATCAGCGGGAGGGGCGTGTCTACCGGGGAGGGGGCGTGGCCAGCGGGAGGCCCCGGTGTGGCGGGAGGCGGCGGCGCCGGGGCCGCCTCGGTGAGGGCGGGCCGGGCTCGGGCTCCGGCTCCGGTTGCTCCTCCCGGCGCTGCGCGGGGGGCGGCGGGGAAGCGTGCGGCTCCCTCAGGCTGCGCCTCCCCTCAGGCCGCGGCGGGAGCCCGGGCCCGCGGCAGGCCGTGCCGGTACCGTGAGGGGAAGATGGCCTCTCGGAGGATCACCCGCGACTCGTTCGAGGCCGTGGTGCAGGACAAGGTGAAGCGGTACCGGAGCGGTGCCGCGGGGGATCCCGGCCATCGTTTCCCAGGTAGGAGAGCCGGGATGGCGGGAGCAGCCCGGCAGCGCCTGCCATTTATTGATTCATTCATTAATTTATTAATTAATTTATTTATTGGCCTGGCGCCGGTGTTTTTCCACATCCGTTTTAATGGAAGAGGCAGCAGAACAGCTGGGCAAGGACTGGCACCGGAACGGGGATAAAAAATGGGAATTGAGACAAAGGAATTGTCTTCAGCATCGCAGAGCGGGTCCGGGTCCAGGCGGGTCTCCAGGGCTGCAGGATGGAATTCTGGTCATGGTTTAGAAGTTAAATAAATGCAGGAGTGCCCTGGAAGCCTTTGGGTCTTTGTGCTTGGTGTTATTTTGGGGAAAAAAGCTCAAAGCAGGGCATTGACCTCATGAACATAACACAAAACGTGGTCCCGAGATTTGGGATGTAAAATGTCCAGCAAGACAGTTGGGTTGCATTCCCAGGGATGGACATTCACAGGAGAGCTTTAAAATGAAGTCTGGCTATTTTTAGAGTTGCGTGAGGCCTGAAGAAATCATTCATATTAAACACTTCTATTTTTTTTTCCAAGTATTCTTTACTTTCTGAATCGAACCTCTGGGATTGGGGAACAAGGGTCTTGGGTGATGAGAGTTTCCTGCAGAAACGAGAGAATTGTGGTTGAGTTTGTAGAAAATCTGAGTTCCTGTCCAAGTGTGGAATGGGAATTCTGGGCTGGGTGATGAGGTGGGGATTGGCCAAAGCTTGGAGTTGCTGGTCTTGGAGGTCTTTGACAATTTATAAATTCTGGGAATGCTGAAAGTTCAGAGTTCTGGTGGTTTTTGTGCCTCAGGTAGAAGACCAAGACTTGAGAAAGAAAAATTTGATTTGGAGGAGAACTTGAGCTCTTGAACTTAGGCATTGGAGTACGGGGATGGGAATGTGCTGACATGGATTTCCCACAGAAATCTCCCCATTTTGACTCTTTTCACCCTCTGGTTTAATTCCTCTGCCCAGCTCCCTCCCGGCTGCCCCGGCCCCGCTACCACGAGAGCTTCCAGCACGACGGGCGCTTCCCTGCGGCCGACTGCCAGCACCAGGACTGGAGCCAGGAGCCCGGGGAGGATTACCCGGGGGAGAGCTACCCCGAGGAGGAGTATCCAGGGGACAGCTACCCCGGGGACAGCTACCCCGGGGAGGATTACCCCGGGCAGAGCTGCCCCGGCCCTTCCTACCGCGCCGCCAGCCCCCTGCCCCGCAAGGAGAACTATTTCCACGGACGCTTCTCCCGCCCCGCGCCCCGGGAGCAGCGGGAGTTCGGCCAGGATTACAGGAAATTTGGCCGTGCGGCCGCCCCCGGCCGGGAGTTTGGGCAGCACCCCGCTCCCCATGGCCGGGAGTTTGGGCAGCACCCCGCTCCCCGCGGCCGGGAGTTTGGGCAGCACCCCGCTCCCCATGGCCGGGAGTTTGGGCAGCACCCCGCTCCCCGCGGCCGGGAGTTTGGGCAGCACCCCGCTCCCCATGGCCGGGAGTTTGGGCAGCACCCCGCTCCCCGCGGCCGGGAGTACGGGCAGCAGGAGCACCGGGGGTACGGCCCCCCCTCGGGTCGCTGGGAGCCCGGCGGGCAGCACGCGGCGGGGTTCGGCTCCCCGCAGCTCCTGGGGGATTTCAGGTCCCCCGGGCTGATGGAGGAGGAGGAGGAGTACGGCGGCGTGGAGGACCGGGAGTACGAGGCCGAGGACGGCGAGTTCCGGGCGCGCAGGGGAGGCGCGGGCAGGGCGAGAGGGCTCCGGGGGAAACGCCTCGGCAGGGGCGTGCCGAAGGCCAAGGTGTTCAAAGGAGACCTCAAAAGCCCCCTCAAGAAGTGGAACGTGAAGAAAACCCAGGCAGGCCCGGATGCCAAAGCTCTGGAGCAGCCTCTGGACGTGGGTGAGCAGAGGCCGGGGCCCCCCAAGCTGCCCCCGCACCCCGTGGCGCCCCAGAGAGCCGTCCCGAGGCTGCCGAAGCCCGCCCACGTCTTCAGGAACCTCAACCCGGACCTGGTGGACAAATCGGACATCTTCTCCACCTTCGGCATGGAGATCATCAGGTGGGCCGGGTTCCACGCCGTGCGCGGCGACGCCGAGTTCTCGCGGCTCTTCGGGGCCCTCTTCGAGCTGGAGACCGAGACCTGCGCCAAGATGCTGGCCTCCTTCAAGTGCTCCCTGCGGCCCGAGCACCGGGACTACTGCTTCTTCACCATCAAGAGCCTGCAGCACGCCGCCCTGAAAACGCCCAAGGTGGACAACGAGTTCCTCAACATGCTGCTGGACAAGGGCGCCGTGAAAACCAAGAACTGCTTCTTCGAGATCATCAAGCCCTTCGACAAGTACATCATGAGGCTGCAGGACCGCCTCCTCAAGGGGGTGACCCCTCTGCTGATGGCCTGCAACGCCTACGAGCTGAGCCTCAAAACCAACGGATTCAGCAACCCCCGGGACGTGGCCGGCGCCTTCGAGACCACCGTGTCCCTGTGCAGGAAATCCCTGGCCCTGCTGGGCCAGACCTTCGCCCTGGCCTCCGGCTTCAGGCAGGAGAAGATCCTGGAGGCCGTGGGGCTGCAGGAGATGGCCCCGGCGCCCACGGCCTTCCCCAATTTTGATGACTCCACGCTCTTCGGCAGGGAGTACATCGAGCACCTGAAGGCCTGGCTGGACAAGAGCGGCTACCCCATCCAGATGAAAAGGGCAGGGGCGGGAGCCGGGGAGCAGCTCAGAGCAGCCTCCCCCGAGGGCAGAGGTAACGGGAGAGAGGAGCCCTGCAGGAGGGGCTTCGTTCCTGTGCTGTGGGCAGGGAGGGAATCCCAGGGGAGTCCCACCCAGGGAGGGAATAACAGGTGAATTCCAGGTGAATCCCAGTCAGGACTGGAGCAGAGATGAAATTCCAGGTGAATCCCAGTCAGGACTGGGGCAGGGAGGGAATTCCAAGTAAATCCCACTCAGGGCTGGAATTCCAGGTGAATCCCACTCAGGGAGTCTGTGGGAGTTTCTGTGGTGAAATCGTGTCCTTTCTTCTCCTTCTCTCTTAAATCCAAGATTTTCACCCCAATTTTACCACCTCAAGGCAGGGAAACCAGGACCAACCTCTAACTGCCTTAATTGCAGAGTAAATATTTGCATATATGCAAATCTGGGGATGTCACCATCACCACTTTAATCAGATCCAGGTGCATTCCCTTGGAGGTGTTCAGATCCCATCCCTGAGCTGGGCCAGTGCCTCCTCCTGCCTAAAACATTCCTAATTCATCCTGCTTTTTTCCTATTTTTTCCCTAAAAACCTGTTTTTTCCTTGAGCCTCAGATCCCTTCTCAGGGAGGTTTTGCAGCACTGGCACCAAATGGTTGAAAATCTCTCACTCAGCCCTCAGAGCAGCATTCCAATAAACTGATTTTCCACCAAAACTCCTTTTGCTGCAGTAAGAAATTGCCTTTTTAAGGATGATTCCTCTCGCCTGGGACGGCTGTGGACGTGTTTTTTAAACCAGGGTGTTTTTAATAAATAATAAAGTTTTGCTTCGTTTGGGATTTATATATATATTTATTATATTTTTTTATTTTTGGGGGATTTTTGATGGGATTTCTCTCTCCCCACAGCCCCCCAGCGAGCTGACAGGAAGGTTCTGGACACCATTGAGCAGCTGGTGAGCAGCATCGTGGCAGGAACTTTGTCTGCCAAGGACAGGAATGCCCAGAAAAACTCTCCTGAATACTGGTGGGTGTGTGGGAACTGGCTGGCAAATTCGGGTTAAATTCATTAAAACTTCAGCCTTTCACTCCGTGGGAATGATCAAAGCCTGTTGTAGATTTTTTTTTAGTTTTTTTTAAAATTTTTAGGCGTTTTTAAATTTTTTTTTTTTTTTTACTTTTTTTTTAGGGGAGAAATGCTTTCCTGCTGTTAATTATCCCTGGAAATGCTCCTGGTGTTTGTGTTGTGGCTTTTGATGTGTCAGTAATGGCTCTTTGTGATCCAAATTCAAGGTGTTCAAAGGAATTTGCATTTCGGGAGCAAACCCGGGTGATGGAGATGCCCAGCGAGGTGCCAGGGTTTGGAATCGCAGGGAAAACTGGAATTTGGAAAAGGGGGAGCTGAGGCTCCTCCAGGTGTGTGAGCTGATGAGCTCCTGTCCATTATTTGTTCCCTTGATCCCAGAAAATCCTGCTCAGCCTCACGCCGAACACCTGGAACAAACAGATAAACTGGAGTGCTGAGGGGGTTTTGCTTCAAAAATGGAGATTTTCAGCTGATTTCTCCTTTTTCTGTGTTTCTCAGGTTCCTGGGTGATGAGGAGTACAAATATCACAGTTAAAAAATTGAGATTTTCAACAGATCCCTCATTTTTCTGTGTTTCTGAAGTTCCTGTGCGATGAGGAGAGCCTGGATTACAAATACTACAGGTTGAGACTGTAAATATTGAGATTTTGATCAGATTTCTCCTTTGTTTTCTGTTTCTCAGATTCCTGTCCGAGGAGGAGAGCCTGGAGTACAAATACCACAGTAAAAAATTGAGATTTTAACCAGATTTCTCCTTTTTTTGTGTTTTTCAGGTTCCTGTGTCACGAGGAGAGGCTGGAGTACAAATGCCACAGTAAAAAATGGAGATTTTAATCAGGTTTCTCCTATTTTGTGTTTCTCTCTCTCAGGTTCCTGTGTGAGGAGAGAGCCTGGAGTACAAATATCACAGGCTGAGGCTGTAACTATTGAGATTTTGAGCTGATTTCTCCATTTTTTGTGTGTTTCCCAGGTTCCTGTCCGAGGAGGACAGCCTGGAGTACAAGTACTACCGGCTGAGGCTGTAAATATGGATATTTTGAGCCGATTTCTCCGTTTTTTGTGTGTTTCTCAGCTTCCTGTCCGAGGAGGACAGCCTGGAGTACAAGTACTACCGGCTGAGGCTGTAAATATGGATATTTTGAGCCGATTTCTCCGTTTTTTGTGTGTTTCTCAGGTTCCTGTCCGAGGAGGACAGCCTGGAGTACAAGTACTACCGGCTGAGGCTGTCGGAGGTGCAGAGGAGCAGCCTGGCAGGGGAGGCAGCAGCCCCCGAGGCCCTGAGGGCCATGCTCTATGCCAGGAGGGTGGCCAGCATCAAAAGGAGACTTTTCAAGAGGAAAAAACCACCTGGGCTCGTCCCTGCCCGTGCCAGGAAGGTGAGGAGGGCGAGCGCTGGCACCCAGACCCTGCTGTCGGCGGGCACAGGAGGAAAACACCCTGAGCAGCACCTGCCAGCTGGCACAGCAGGGAAACACCCTGAGCAGCACCTGCCAGCTGGCACAGGAGCGAAATGTTCAGACAGAAATGTTCCAGCTGGCAGAGGAACGAAACACCCAGACAAAAATGTTCCAGTGGGCACAGGAGTGAAACAGCCAGAGCAAAATCTGTCAGCTGGCACAGGAGTGAAACACACAGACAGAAATGTTCCAGCTGGCACAGGGCTGGAACAGCCAGACCAAAACCTTGCAGCTGGCCCAGGGCTGGAACAGCCAGAGCAAAATGTGTCAGCTGGCACAGGGCTGGAACAGCCAGACAGAAATCTGTCAGCTGGCACAGGAATGAAACACCCTGACCAAAATGTGCCACCTGGCATGGGGCTGGAGCAGCCACACCAAAACCTTGCAGCTGGCACAGGAACGAAACACCCAAATCAAAACCTCCCAGCTGGCACAGGGCTGGAGCAGCCACGCCAAAGCGCTCCAGGTGCAGAGCTTGGCCTGGCCCAGCCTGGCCCCGGTGCCACCTGTGCCCCACAAGGTGCCAGCAGCAGCTCCCAGGTGCCCGTGGCAGCAGAGGGAACAGCGGATGCCGAGGGTTTGGCAGCAGATCCTGAGCCCCTCCCAGCACCGGGATCACAGTTTGCTGATGGTGAGTGGGGCCTTGGGGCTGGGGTTGGGGTTTTAATTGTGGCAGGGGAAAAATTAACTGACGTGGGGTTGGATTGGGAACGTTAAATTATATCCAGGAAAAGCAAACAGGGGTTGGATTGGGAATTTCAGTTATAGCAGGGGAAAACAAACAGGAATTTTGGGAGTATTAAATTGTGTCCAGAAAAACTAACATGGCATTGGATTGGGAATTTTGAACTATAGCAGGGGAAAACAAACAGGAATTTTGGGAGTATTAAATTGTGTCCAGGAAACAAACAGGGGTTAGATTGGGAATTGAAATTATAGCAGGGAAAGAAGTAACTAACGTGGGGTTGGATTGGGAATTTTGAATTATAGCAGGGGAAAACAAACAGGAATTTTGGGAATATTGTGTCCAGGAAAAACTAACATGGATTAAGAATTTAAATTATAGCAAGGAAAAAAACTGACATGGGGTTAGAGCTGGGATGTTAAATTATAGCAGGAAAAGCAAACAGGTGACATTGGGAATTTTGAATTACAGCAGGGAAAACCAACAGGTGACATTGGGAATTTTGAATTACAGCAGGGAAAACAGACTGGGGTGAGATTGGGAATTTTAAACCGTGTCCAGGCAAAAACCCAAACTTGTGCAATCCACACACAAAGAATTCCTGCTGGAAGCCCCAGACCCCATTTCTGTGACCCTGAATTTTGAAGGCCTCGGCTTTGCTGCCCCGTTTCAGCAGGACGCTTTGCTCCTTGCAGTGGATGCCAAAACCATGGAGACTGCGGAGAAGCTGGCCAGGTTTGTGGCTCAGGTAGGGCCGGAGATTGAGCAGTTCAGCATCGACAACAGCGCAGACAACCCCGAGCTCTGGTGAGTCCCAGCTCCTCCTGCCTCCCATCCCTGCCCACATCCCTGCCCTTGGGGGTTCAGGAACTCAGGAATTGGGGGCAGCGCCCCAGCGCCTCCATTGATGGTGAATATCTGAAATGTCTCAGGGGAAAAACCCATTTATGCGTAAATACATTGATTTCTGATCATCAGCTTGGTTTATTTTTGAGCCTCATCACCAGCCTGAACCCTGAAACTGGGAATTCTCAAGATGATTCCAATGGATTCATTTGACCTTGTTTTCCTTGGATTTTGGACCTTATATCCCCTGGCTTTTTGACCTTGTATCCCCTGGATGTTTCACCTTATTTCTCTGTCTTTTTGACCTTGTTTCCCCTGCATTCTTGACCTTATCTTCCCTGGATTTTTTGCCTTATCTTCCTGGATTTTTGATATTGTTTCCATGGATTTTTGACCTTATTTCCCCTACATTTTTGACCTTATCTTCCCTGGAGTTTTGATATTGTTTCTCTGGCTTTTTGACTGTATTTCCCCCTGGACTTTGACCATATTTCCCTGGATTTTTGACCTTATTTTCCCCTGGACTTTTGACCTTATTACCCCTGGATTTTTCACCTTATTACTCTTGGATTTTTGACTTTATTTTCCCCTGGAGTTTGACCATTTTTTACCTTATATTCCCCTGCATTTTTGACGTTATTCCCCTGCATTTTTTACTTTATTTCCCTGAACTTTTTCCCTTATCCCCCCTCATTTTTCCTCCCTGCATTTTTCCCCTTTTTCCCCCCTCATTTTTCCCCCATATTTTTCCCCTTTTCCCCCTCATTTTTCCCCTTACCCTCCTGCATTTTCCCCCCATATTTTTCCCCTTTTCGCCCCTCATTTTTCCCCTTTTCCCCCCTCATTTTCATCCCTCACCTCCCATTCCTCCCCCCAGGTTCCTGCAGGACCAAACCAGCCCCGCATTCAAGTTCTACCGCATGAAAGTCCTGGAGCTGTGTCCCTCCATCACCTTCAGCCCCGAGGCTGCCGAGGCTGCCCGAGCTGCAGGGACGGCCCTGGACACCGAGGAGGACGACGAGGAAGAGGAGGAGGAGGAAGAAGAAGAAGAGGAGGAGGAAGAAGAAGAGGAAGAAGCAGAGTTTGAACCCTCCCAAGCTGATGAGGAGGATGAGGATGATGAGGAGGCCGTGGCAGCAGGTAGAAGGGTGACAGAGCTAGAGGAAGAAGTGGTGTCCGTGGCAGGAGAGGAGGTGTCAGGAGGTGACGTGCAGCCCCGCGGCCGCTCTGACGGCGCTGTCCCAACTCTGTCGACACAGGCACCCCCCGGCCCGGGCCCCGGCGCGCGCTTCCCCCGCAAACGCGTCAGCTCCAAGTCGCTGAGGGTGGGCCTGATCCCGGCCCCAAAAAGGATCTGCCTCGTCCAGGAGCCCAAAGGTGGGTCGGCACTCAAAGGGTTAAATTCTATATGGAAAAAAAGGGGATTTGGGCAAAAATCCCCATTCTTTAGGTGTTGTCGCTTTCAAACGCGTCAGCTCCAAGTCGCTGAGGGTGGGCCTGATCCCGGCCCCAAAAAGGATCTGCCTCGTCCAGGAGCCCAAAGGTGGGTTGGCACTCAAAGGGTTAAATTTTATTGTAAAATAGAGGAGGATTTGGGCAAAAATCCCCATTCTTTAGGTGTTGTCGCTTTCAAACGCGTCAGCTCCAAGTCGCTGAGGGTGGGCCTGATCCCGGCCCCAAAAAGGATCTGCCTCGTCCAGGAGCCCAAAGGTGGGTCGGCACTCAAAGGCTTAAATTCTGGAGGGAATTTGGGCAGAAATCCCGGTTCTTTAGGTGTTGTTGTGTTAAAAATGGCACTTCTTTAGTGCCAAGTTCCGCAGCCAGTCCCTGAGGGTGAGCCTGATCCCGGCCCCCAAACGGATCTGCCTCGTCCAGGAGCCCAAAGGTGGGTTGGCAGTGAAAGGGTTAAATTGTTTGTAGTAAAAAAGGGAATTTGGGCATAAATCCCCATTCTTTAGGTGTTTTGCTGCTTTTAAAATGGCATTTGTTTAATGCAAGCGGGTCAGCTCCCAGTCGCTGAGGGTGGGCCTGATCCCGGCCCCCAAAGGGATCTGCCTCGTCCAGAAGCCCGAAGGTCAGTGTGCACTGAAAGAGTTGAGTTTTATACAGAAATAAAGGAGGATTTGGGTAAAAATCCCCATTTTTTAAAGTGTATTGTCACTTAAAAAATGGCATTTGTTAATGCAAGCGGGTCAGCTCCAAGACCCTGAGGGTGGGCCTGGTCCCGGCCTCAAAAAGGATCTGCCTCGTCCGGGAGCCTAAAGGTGGGCTGGCAGTGAAATAGTTCCATTTTGTGTAGTAAAAAAGGGAATTTGGGAAAAAAATCCCCATTTTTTAGGTGTTGTCATGTTAAAAATGGCATTTCATCAATGCAAAGTTCAGCAGCGAGTCGCTGAGGGTGGGCCTGATCCCGGCCCCCAAAAGGATCTGCCTCATCCAGGAGCCTGAAGGTCAATGGGCACTGAAAGGGTTAAATTTTATACTGAAATAAATGAGGAATTGGGTAAAAAATCTGATTTTTTAGGTGTATTGTCACTTAAAAAATTGCATTTTTCGGTACAAAGATGAGCACAAAATTCACTTTAAAAGTAGAAGCTGAGGAAATAATTTGTTACGAACCAATATACTTCTAATAAATTGAGACTATATCGATTTTTTTCATTAATTTTGATCTTTTTTTATTGCTCTAATTTTTCTTATTGCTTCTGTTTTAGGTCCAGGCTTGAAATGGAATTTTTGGAGAATTTTTAGCTGTGGTTTAGAGGAAAAAAATTAATTTTTTTTACTAAAATAATTTAAATTTCCAGCTGACCTTTGTGGTTTTTTTGCCTTGCAGTGCATGAACCTGTCAGGATTGCTTATGACAGACCCCGGGGCTGCCCTGTCACAAAGAAGAAAAAGGTAAAAAAATCACATATCTGCCACCGAATCCAACCAGAAATGAGAAATGGTTTGGGAAAAAAACAATGTGGAAAGAAAAAAAATAATTTTTAAAATTTTATTTTAAAATTTCTTTTAAAGAAGGAAATTACTGTGAGGAAATCCCTTTAGAAATTCTTTTTAAATAACTCCTTGAAAAGAAGGAAATCCCTTTAAAAAAGCTCCTTTAAAAATTCCTTTACATGAAGGAAAATTCTTTTAAAAATTCCTTTTAAAAATTCAATTTACACCGATCCTGATGGGAGTTTCACACATTGCACCAGTCCCTGTCCCACCCTAATAAATTCCTTTATTTTTTTTAATTTTTTCCCTAGAAACCCAAGGATACGGAGGTGCCCCAGGAACGTGGGGTTCCAGATGCTGGCACGAAATTTCTTTCTAAAAAATTCCTTTTAAAAGAAGGAAATCCCTTTTTAAAAATCCTTTTAAAATTCCTTAAAAAAAGAAGAAAATTCCTTTTAAAAAAATAAGAAAATTCCCTTAAAATCTCATTTAAAATAAGGAATTTCCTTTTAAAAAATTCAATTTACGCCAGTGCGGATGGGAATTTCACCCTGATAAATTTTCTATTTTTTCACCCATTTCACCCTAATAAATGTTAATTTTTTTTTCCCATTTTTTCCCCGTTTTCCCCCATATTTTTGCAGAAGCCCAGGGCGCTGGAGGCGCCCCAGAAGAGGCTGAGCCCCAGGAACGTGGGGTTCCAGATGCTGCAGAGGATGGGCTGGCAGGAGGGGCACGGGCTGGGCACGCGCGGCCGCGGCATCCGGGAGCCCCTGCACCTGTAAGGGGGAAATGGGGATTTATTGGGGGGAAATAGGGGGATTTATATGGGGAAAATAGGGGATTTACTGGGGGAAAATAGGGGCATTTATAGGGGAAAATAGGGGTTTTAATGGGGGAAAATAGGGGGATTTATATGGGGAAAATAGGGGTTTGAATGGGGGAAAATAGGGGGATTTATAGGGCAAAAATAGGGGTTTGAATGGGGGAAAATAGGGGCATTTATAGGGCAAAAATAGGAGTTTTAATGGGGGGAAATAGGGGAATTTATAGGGAAAAAATAGGGGGTTTAATGGGGGAAAATGGGGGGATTTATAGGGGGAAAATAGCAGTTTGAATGGGGAAAAATAGGGGCATTTATAGAGGAAAAATAGGGGATTTAGTGGGGGAAAATAGGGGGATAAACAGGGGGATTTGTGGAGGAAAATAGGGGGGTTTTAATGGGAAAATAGGGGATTTTAATGGGGGGAAAATAAGAGTTTTAGTGTGGGAAATTTAGAGTTTTTAATAGGGGAAATAGAGCTTTTAATAGGGGAAAATAAGGGGTTTTTAATAGGGGAAATTCGTGTTTTTAATGGGAGAATTCAAAGTTTTTAATAGCGCAAAATAGAGGTTTAATATGGGAAGTTCCCCGAATTCCCATAAAATTCCCCTTTATCCAGAATTCTGTGCCATTCCCTGATCCCTCCTCAAATCCTCTGGGCTTTAATTCCTGAAATCCCAAAAGCAAGATATTTCCACAGAAAACCAAACCTGAACTTAAAACTTATTCCACAATTCCCTCTCCCACCTGATTTTTTTCCCACCCACAAAAATCCCATTTTTCAACTGGGAATTCACCTTCTGATGGGAATCGGGGGGGAAAACGTTAAAATAATTCAGAATGATTGAGAATAATTGGCTGCAGCAGGCACCGAATGGTGCAAAATGGATTGAAAAAAATCAGATTTGTTGGTTCTAATTGTGGAATTTTCTTCCCCAGGGGTGCAACCTCAGCTGGGGAGGGTTTGGGAGTGGCAGGGGAGGAAAACCAAGAAGATGCTTTTGACATTTTCCGCCAGAGGATGATCCAGATGTACAGACAGAAAAGGGCAAACAAATAGGTGAGTGCCAACGCAGCCAGAAATTCCATTTTACACCCAAACTCTCCCTTTCCCCGCAATTCTGGGGGCGCCTTGGTGGGGTCGGGGTGCCCTGGAGGCGCTGAGTGAGCCCAAAACTTGAATTTCTGGAGGTTTTTCTGATCTTTGAGATTCTGGAGGTGCTGAGAGACCCCAAAATCTTCATTTGTTGGGAGTTTTTCGGATTTCTGAGAATCTCTTTTTTCTCTTTTCCCCCTTTTTTCTCTCTTTTTTCTTCTCTTTCTCTCTTTCTTTTTTTTTTTCTGTTTCTCCCTCTGTTTCCTCTATTTTTACCCTTTTTCCCTCTCTTTTTTCTCTCTTTCCCCTCCTTTTTTTCCCCTCTTTTTTTCCCCTTTATTTCCCTCTCTTTCTCTCTTCCCCCTCCATTTTTTCCTCTTTATTTTCCTTTGTTTTGCCCTCTTTTTTCCCCCTTTTTCCCCTCTTTTTCTCTCTTTTTTCCCCATTTTTCTCTCTCTTTCTCTCTTTTCCCCCTCCTTTTTTTTCTCTTTATTTTTCTTTGTTTCCCCACTCTTTTCCCCCCTTTTCCCCCATTTTTCTCTCTGTTTCTCTCATTCCAGCTCCAGGCTCTCTTCCATGAAGACCCCCGGGCCCCCTCCCCTCCCTCCCGCGCTGTCTCTGCTGCGTTTGCTCCGATTTGCCTGGGACCCACCCAAAATTCACATTTCACACCCCAAATTCTGGATTTTCCATCCCAAATTTCACATTTTCCACCCCAAATTCTGGATCTTCCCTGGAATTCCAGCCCAAGTTCCGGGTTTTCCACCCCAAATTCTGGATTTTCCGCCCCAAGTCTCAGATTTTCCCTGGAATTCCACCCCAGGCTCCCTCCTTTCCATGCCAAGGGAGGGAAAACGAGGATTTTCCCCCATTTTGGTGTCAGTAACGCTTTGGTAGAAACGTTCAACCCAATAAATGTGGGGCTGGACAATTCCTGCTGCCTGGGACGTTGAATTTGGATTTTTGTTGTGGCTTTGGCCCTTTGGAGGAGATGTGCTTTTTTATTTCTATTTAATTAATTTGTTTTTGCTGGAATTCGGAATTCCTCTGGGTGCAGAGCAGGATTTTGGGGTCAAAATCCATTTTTGGGCTGGGATTCCTCACCAAAAACTGGAATTGTTTCCCAAAAATCAACGTACAAGTTTTTGGTTTTTTCCTCTTGACCTCCCACTCTACTTCCAACTTTTATTTTACCCAAATAAATCCTCAAAAATCCAAATATTCTCTTTTTGGCTTCTCCCTACCCTAATTAAAACAAAATTTGAAATTAATTTGAATTTTGAATCCTGCATATCTCAGAGCTGAGCGGCCAAGCACAACCCGAGGTGGATTTGAGCAATAAAACACCTGAAAATCAGAATAAAACACCTGAAAATCAGAATAAAACACCTGGAAAATCAGAATATGCTGAAACCACCTGGGATTTTTCTGAAATAAAATCCAATGTTGGGGTTTTTGGTGACCAGTTTTGGGGTTTTTGTTCCGTTTGGGGCTGGGGCTGTTGGAGTTCTCTGTGCCAATAAAATTCTGGTGTTGGAAATTCGGTGTTTGGGATTTTGGTGTTGGTTTGGGGTTTGGGGTTCGGATTCTGGTGTTGGGATTTTGGGATTTTGGGGTTTGGGGTTTCGAGCTTTGGAGTTTGGGGTTTTGGGGTTTGGGATTTCGGGGTTTGGGATTCAGGTGTTGGAATTTGGGGATTGGGATTTTGGGGTTTTGGGGTTTGAGATTTGGGGTTTCCGACCCCTGTGGGGTCAGGGAGGGGTTGGGCTGGGAGGGACCTCAAAGCCAATCTGGGGACACCCTGGGGACACTTTGGGGACACCCTGGGGACACCCTGGGGACACCCTGGGGACACTTTGGGGACACTCTGGGGACACCTTGGGGACACTCTGGGGACACCCGGGGGACACCCTGGGGACACTCTGGGGACACCCTGGGGACACCTTGGGGACACTCTGGGGACACCCTGGGGACACTCTGGGGACACTCTGGGGACATTTTGGGGACACTCTGGGGACACCCTGGGGACACTTTCTGCCATCCCAGGTGGCTCCAGCCGTGTCCCTGTCTGGTGTCCCTGTCCCTTTCCTGTCCCCTCTGTCCCTCTGTCTGTCCGTGTCCCCTCTGTCCCTGCTGCAGCCCCTGTCCCATCCCTTTCCTGTCCCCATCCCTGTCCCTGTCCCTCTGTCTGTCCCTGTCCCCCCCCAAGTAGGGCAGGCCCTCCTGCCCCCCCCCCGCTCAGAGCTCTCATTAATGACCTGCCCCAATTAAGCCGGGCTAATTGCCTGGGCTGGGCTGGAACTGGGGGAGGAGCTGCTGCACCTCCTGCCGCCACAAATGCCAAATATTGGCTCCGAAATTCCAAATATTGGCTCCGAAATTCCAAATACTGGCTCCAAAATTCCGAATACTGGCTCCGAAATTCCAAATGTTTGCTCCGAAATTCCCAATACGGGCTCTGAAATTCCAAATATTGGCTCCGAAATTAGAAATGTTGGCCATGAAATTCCAAATGTTGGCTCTGGAATTACAAATATGGGCTCTGGAATTCCAAATCTTTCATGTAAAACTGCTGGTCTTGGGAGTAATTATTGATGAAAAATATAAATACCCTCATTAGCAGCGTCATTAACATAAATTCAGTGTGGACACACTCGTGTGTTCAATATTAACGGACACAGCAATATTTTATATTAACAGGATTGATCAATAACTCCTTAGAAACTCCTGGAATTCCAGGTTTTGTGACCTGCTAAAGCACACCAGGGTAAAACCGGGATTGCAGCGGCCCCAGGGGCACGGGGAGCCTTTAATGAGCTGCTGAAAACAGAAAATGAAAGGTGAATTTGGGTATTTTTAGTGCTGAAGGATGAATTTCTGTCCTTGGGAACAGAAAAGTGGCTCAGGGGCCGTTCTGGAGAGGAATTCTGAGCACTGTGGGGGAAAAAAAGGAATTTTTGGGTTAAAAGCAGCAGATCTTGGGGGTTTTGTGCTCTAGGAGGAGATGGGGGGTCCCTGCAGGAGGTTAAATTTCAGTGCTTTACATTGAAACACTCAAATGTTTAAATTTAAATACTAAAATAACACGAAATACTAAAACAACAATAAATACTATTTCTACTCAACATTGGCAGTGTTTAACTCAGGCAGAGTGACAGAGGCTGAGGGGAAATCCAGCATCAAATGGAGATTTTCTGTTTGGTTTTAAACAAACTCAGAATGGGAGGGGACAGGGACGGGGACAGGGACAAGGGACACAGATGGGGACAGGGACAAGGGGCAGGGTGGGGACAGGGACGGGGACAGGGACGGGGACAGGGACAAGGGACAGGGTGGGGACAGGGATGGGGACAGGGACAAGGGACAGGGTGGGGACAGGGTGGGGACAGGGTGGGGACACTGGGGACAGGGATGGGGACAGGGACAAGGGACAGGGTGGGGACAGGGTGGGGACAGGGGTGACACCTGGCACAGGGAAAACAGCGCAGGATGGGGAGGAGGGAAAGGCTGAGTGTGAGCAGGGGGGGATTCACACCTGGGTTATCACACCTGAGTTATCTCACTTAGGATATCACACCTGTGTTATCACACCTCGGTTATCACACTGGGTTATCACACCTGGGTTATCACACCTGGGTTATCACACTGGGTTATCACACCCGGGTTATCTCACTTAGGATATCACACCTGTGTTATCACACCTCGGTTATCACACTGGGTTATCACACCCGGGTTATCTCACTTAGGATATCACACCTGTGTTATCACACCTCGGTTATCACACTGGGTTATCACACCTGGGTTATCACACCTGGGTTATCACACTGGGTTATCACACCCGGGTTATCTCACTTAGGATATCACACCTGTGTTATCACACCTCGGTTATCACACTGGGTTATCACACCTGGGTTATCACACCTGGGTTATCACACCCGGGTTATCACACCCGGGTTATCACACCTGGGTTATCACACCCGGGTTATCTCACTTAGGATATCACACCTGTGTTATCACACCTCGGTTATCACACTGGGTTATCACACCTGGGTTATCACACTGGGTTATCACACCCGGGTTATCTCACTTAGGATATCACACCTGTGTTATCACACCTCGGTTATCACACTGGGTTATCACACCTGGGTTATCTCACTCAGGATATCACACTGTCACACTTGTGTTATCACACTGGGTTATCACACCAGGGTTATCATCACTGGGTTATCTCACCTGGGTTATCACACCTGAGTTATCACACCTGGGTTATCTCACTCAGGATATCACACATGTGTTATCACACCAGGGTTATCACACCTGAGTTATCTGACTCGGGATATCACATTTGGGTTATCACACCCTGGTTATCACTCCTGTGTTATCACACCCGTGTTATCAGTCTGGGTTATCACTCAGGTTATCGCACCCGTGTTGGTGCTGCCAGGGTGGAATTCTGAGTTCCAGGGCTGGGGGCTTTTGACACTTCCCGGGGTCAGAGCCGCTGTCCCCGCGGCCCCGAGCCGCTGTCCCGGCAGGCGGTGGCACCGAGGGTGGCCCCGAGCCGTTGTCCCCGATCTCGCGTCCCGGCAGGCGGTGCCGCCGCCGCCGCCGCCAATAAAGTCGGGAGAAGAAAAGCGGCCAAACGTGAGCGGGATGGGGCGGCGGGAGCGGGGAGGGACCGGGTAGGGGGCGGACAGGGAGCGGCAGGGACCGGGCAGGAGGGACCGGGACCGGGACCGGGCAGGAGCGGGCAGGGACCGGATAGGAGCGGGCCGGGAGAGGGCAGGAGCGGCAGGACCAGGTAGGACCGAACAAGGAGCGGGAGGAACCGGGCAGGAGGGACAGGAACCGGGCAGTGACCGGGCAGGAGCGGGAGGAACCGGGCAGGAGGGACAGGAACCGGGCAGGGAGCGGGCAGGAGCGGGAGGAACCGGGCAGGAGCGCACCGGGAGAGGGCAGCGAAGAGCTCGGGCCGGCCGGGCTCGGGGCAAGGCTCGGGGCGGGGGGAGGAACGGCTCGGAGCGGCACCGGCCCCATCCAGCCGCTCCCCGCCGGGCTGGGACGGAGCGAGGGAACCGCGGAGCAGCGCCGGGGCCGCTCCCGGTACCGGTGCCGCTCCCGGTGCCGCTCCCGATCCTGGAGCCTCGCCCTGAGCCACTCCCGGAGCCGCTCCCGGTGCCGGTACCGATCCCGGTCCCGGTGCCGCTCCCGGTGCCGCGGAGCAGCAGCAGCAGCTGCAGCAGCTGCAACGCTTCAAAGTGAAATTCCGGAGGAAATTTAAAGAGCATCCGGATCCGGAGAAAGACAGAAAGAAAGAGGAAGGGGAGAAGGAGGAGGAAGAGGAGGAGGAGGCGGCGGCGGGAGCGGAGCGGTGCCGGCGGGGATGGGGTGAGAGCCGCGGCCGCCGTCCCTGCCCCGCTTTTGTTCTTCCCTTTGTTATTTCGCTGTTCATCGCTTCTGAGGCGGCGGGCACGGCAGCGCAAGGGTTAAATCGCTTTTTTTCCGCGCTCCAGCTGCGAAGTTTCGCCTCCCTTTCATTCCTGGGGCAGGGAGGCGGCCGAGGGCGAGTTGCTGCAAGTTCCTTAAATTAAATCCTGTGCAGGGGAAAGCTCCGGGATCTGCGGAACCCGCACCGGGAGGGCTGGAGCGGGGCTGCGCCCGAAAACTTTCCCGGAGTTCAAATTTCGGGGTTTTGTGGGGTTTGTGGCGGCTCTGGATGCAGGAAAATGGATCCCGGCTGTGCTTGGGGCTGGGAGCGGCTGGAAACGGCCCGGGGTGCGGATCGCGAACGGGAGGGAAATTCTGGAATTTGGGATTGTGGGATTTGAGATTTTGAGGTTTGGAATTTTGGGGTTTGGAATTTTGGGGTTGGGATTTTAGAGTTTGGGATTTCGAGATTTGGGGGTTGGAATTTTGGTACTTGGGATTTTGTGGTTTGGAATTTTGGTGTTGGGGTTTTAGAGTTTGGGGTTTTGGTGTTTGAATTTGGGGTTTGGGGTTTGGATGTTTGGGGTTTTGGGGTTTGAGATCCTGCTGCGGGGATGTGGCGCTGTGTGGATTTTGTTGGATTTTGGGTGGATTTTGGTGGATTTTGGGTGGATTTCAGTGGATTTTGTTGGATTTTGTTGGATTTTGGGTGGATTTCAGTGGATTTTGGCGCGGGACAGGAGCTCGGGCTGGGTTTGATTCCCGTCCCAGCTCTCAGCCTCAGCCGCTTTTCGGACCCGGCGTTGTTGGAGTTTCTCGTGCGGTCGAGCCTGGAGGAATCCTGGCAGATCATTCCCCCCCAGCCTGGGCTTTGGATAAATCACATTCCTGGGGGCTCCTTTGCCTTTTTTAAAATTTACCATTCTCCTTTTAAAATGTTTTTCTATTTTCCTTTTTAAAAAAAATTCTTTTTTTTTTTTTTAATTTTCTATTTTCCTTTTTTAAAAATTTCCCCTTTCCTTTTTTTTTTTTTAATTTCCATAACTCTGAAATTCCATCAGAATTTCCGTAACTCTGGCTACAAAGGAGATTTAAAAATC